TTTTAGTTGCCAGCTTCCATATGGCAGCAAGTTCCAGACAGTTTAAAACAGTATTCATCCACTGAACAAACACCTGCCGAGGGCTTGCTCTGTGCCAGGCACCGAGTTAGGCAGGAAGTCAGTCTTCAGTTCTGTTCTGCTCCATTCAGTGAGCAATACACTGGTGCTCTCCTAGAAGCAAGCCTTAGGGTTGGGTGGTGAATTGTGCAAGAGGGAAGGTGAGAACATTCTTTGCTTGGCCAAATTTTTGTCAGGCTTCTGAATCTTCTGTGGCCGCATCTGTGCACTTCCTCATAGCAAAGCGGTTTTGGCAAAGAACTCTAAGTCGGTTTACTGAGAGCCCCCCCCATGACTGGGTTCCTTGACCTCTACCATCCCCCAGGTGCTGTCTGATTACCCTGGCCTGTCCTCAGCAAGAATCCTGTTAGGCGAGTTTAGCCACAATCCCCCTTACTCCTGATGTTTGCTCTTAGCAATTTTCCTTCCAGTGACCCCACCGAGCTCCTTGGCTATACATTCCCACTGGCCCATGTTATATTGGGAGTCGAGCCCAATCTCTCTCCTCTACTGCAAGACCCCACTGTAGTGGTCCCCATACTTATCACGATGGTCCTGAATAAAGTCTTCCTTCCTGTGCTTTAACAAGTGTCTTTGAATAATTTTTTCTTTGCCAGCCAAATGTAAAAGCAGGAAACTTGGAACCAAGCCCTGAGTTCAAACCCTAGCTTCATCTTCTTCTATCTTTAAATAAGGGGAGTGGATTAGTTAATCTCTAAGGTCACTTCTGGCTTTACTGTTTCATGATTTCACGCTCATTTCACTGGGAGCTATAGCCCCTTGTTCAGTGTGTGTGCCCAGAGGTGGGTGAGGACAAACATGCAGAAGAAAAAGAGATGAGTGGAATAGAGAGGCATGTGTTAGAGCTATTCAGGTGGTAAAAATCAAAGGAAGAAGCCACCAAGGAAGCTCCCAGGTGTCTGGCTGGGGCAGTTACGTGTGGGTAAGGGTATAGCTACTGTAGGAGTAGGAATCAGGTATAGGGGAAAAAATGATCTCTATAAAAAAAAATAATAATAATAGATGGAATTTGGTCAGGCACAATAGCTCACACCTGTGATCCCAACACTTTGGGATGCCACATTTGCAGAGAATTGCTTGAGCCCAGGAGTTAGAGACCGGCCTGGGCAACATAGCAAGACCCCCACCTCTACAAAAAATACTAAAAATAAGCTAAGCATGGTGGCATGTGCCTGTAGTCCTAGCTACTTAGGAGGCTGAGGTGGAGGATCATGTGAGCCCAGGAAATTCAGGTTGCAGTAAACTCTAATAGCCACTGCACTCCAGCCTGGGCAACAGAGCAAGACCCTGTCTCAGAGAGAAAAAAAAAAAAAAAAAAAAGTTCAAAGTTCAGTTCCATTCAAAAACAAAAATGATTCAAAATTATTTCCCAGAATGAAAACAGGCCAGCAGCCTTTTGCCACGTTTACACTTGGGAAATAAGCTTTAGCCCTGCCACCGCCACATTCCCTGGGCAGAGCCCCCGCAGGGACTAGCATGGATGTTGATGAAACAAGGGCTTCTTTTTTCTTCCCCCTCTGTTCACTTACTATGACTTTTAGATTAGCCTGCAGATAGATTCAACACAGACAAACCTGTCATTAATATAGTTTTCAAGTAGCAAACCACAAGTGAGGAAGGTAGCTGGGCAGGTGGCTAGCATTGGTGACAGCAGTTCTCTAGGACTCCTAAGCTGTAGAAAACCGTGAGTTTTTGAGGTCAGAGCCCAGATTCAGTTCCCTTCACAAGACCTCATTTGACCAAAGTCTGACTAACTCCCAGCTTTTTCCATTATTATTATGGATTTACTCTGAAGGACTCTTTATAAAAATGAAAACCAGTTTTGGTTTTTCATATACTTGGGATTAAAAACACATTTCTTCCATGTGCTTAGTACTTCATAGCTCACAAAGCGCTTTCACAGCCTGGATGATTTTTTATTTTCACCAAGCCAGGGATTATTCTTCTTATTCTATGTGTCTTGAAACAAGACTCGGAGGTGTAAGTGGCTTTTTCAAGATCACATAGCTAGAAAGTGCCAAAACTATCCACTCCAATTTGATAATATTCCAGGTAGGCAAAACAGTGGAAAATGGATATCTCATACTCTTATGGTGGGAGTATAAACTGGTCTGGCATTTCACAAGGGCTTACTGCCAGTGTTTCTTAAATATGGTTACCCTTTGATTTGCCAGTTTAACTCTGTATTAGCCTGAGCTCCCCCTAGAAAGCAGAGCTCAGAATGAGAGCTTGTAGGCAGGAAGCCAGCATTGAGAAGTGAATGAGAGTTAGTCCAGGGCTAGGAAGGGTGAAAAGCAACACAAGGCTACATTATCAAGCTGATCACCATTGTGGGTAACTAGGACTCAATCCTGCCAGAACCCTTTAAGGAACCATGGGGAATGGGCCTGAGAGAAGGAAGAGGGGAACATTTGTTTACAGGCTCACACCCTAGACTGGTGAAAAGTTACTGCATAGACTGTTAACTCTTCCACACTACCACGTTTGTCAGAGGAATACAAATAATGTGTTCATGTATTGATTATATAGTTATTAATAAAAAAAATTAGGGGAGAGCCTGGGCCTGGGAACTGGAGTTGGCACTGGAACACAGATCTCCAAAGTAAGTCTAATTTTCAGAGTCTGGCAGATGGGTTCTGCGGAACCGGAGTTATAAAGAATAGAATCCAGTTCCCTTGGACGTAGAGAGAGAGAGACATGGCAAGAGAATGTTTCCGTTTTCTGCCACAAGTGACTCCATATTCTATGGCACCCTGGGCATAAAATATCTGATATCCTGCCAGGCAGTGTTATCAATGGTCAAAAGGGATCAGAGATAAGGCCCACCATGCCCAGTTCCAAGGTCAAAGACAGAAAATTAAACAAGTGATTATCAAAACGCAGTACTTTTCTAATTTAGTATGCATGAGATTCACCGGGGAGCTTGTTAGAAATTGAGATACTTGGACCCCACCGCAGACTTTCCAATTTGGGTCTTGAGCAGAGCCTTGAACCTATATTTATAAATCCCTCAAGTAATTCTTGTGCAGGTGACCCAGGACCACACTTGAGAAACACCGCCTTGGGGCCCAGACTCTGAGCCTTTGAGGACAGAAAGTACCTCATTTATTGCTAGTTCCCTCCCCAGTACCTGGCATGTAGCAGAGACAAGATAATTGGCCACTGAATTATTCAAAATTAGTGCTCTAAAAAGTGTCTGTTTAATGTGGAGTCGGCGCAAGTCTGCAGCCTTTCTGTACCTGCAAGCTCTGGGACTTCATTTTAACAGCATAGCCCAGAAAAGGGAATTTAAACTCCGCAGAGACTAGTTTATAAACTAGAAAGCCAACGAATTCATTAACATAAAAAAAACTGCAAATCAGTTGGCTAGTAACATATTTTCTCCTAGGAGCAGAAGCCACCTATGAAATTAAATTAGTGCCAGGCTATTGCTTGGTGAACAAGAAATGACTTTTAGGCGCCATTGGTAAAGCATGACACAAATTGTGAGACTAGCACTGTGTAAGTTGAAAAGGTCTATATAAATGTAATGTATTATTAATGTCACCATTTTAGAAAATATGCTGGAGGCAGTATACATAGGGGTTATGCCTGCAAGCACTGGAGTCAGACACAACATTCTACCTTTATCTATGAAACCGGATAGACGAGTCACTGCACTTCCCTGAGCCTAAGTTTCCTGCTCTGTAAAATAGAAATAATATTGCCACATGCCTTTTGGAGTTGTAAGAATTAAATTAGACAATGTATGTAAAGTTTTGACACAGTGTGCTGCACTTAAGTGCTCAATAAATGTTTGTTAATAGTATTCAGTTACTTATCTTCTCAATCACCAACTCTAACGTCAGACAGGCAATAATACAACACTACTACAATTATAAAAACATAGACCAGGTGGCAGGCAACAGAGGCTCCAGTTTCTGCTAGGCAGTTCTAGATGGTCATTTTACATACTGCGGAGTCCTAATTAGAAGGGAGTCAGGCTAGTGGGACCGAGGGAAAGCAAAAAGAGCAGATGCACTATAAGTCTGCCTTTCTTCATGGTGCAGGACACATAGCCCTCCTGTGCAAATAATTCACAATCTTCCTGCACCTAGCTATCACGAGACACCTGCAAGTTAGCTCCCTGCAACCTTGGAGTTATCAGTACTGCTCAGCATCCTGCAGCCCAAGAACGATCCTATAAAATCTCCACCAAGCCTTTGTTTCCTTGAAATTAGCTCGTCTCTGGCTGGTCTGCCCATTGCAACCTTTCAGTGTAATTTCATTCTTTCTCAAATAAATCTGCATTTGTTTACCTAAAACGATCAATAAATTCTTTTATCACCCACGTAATACCAGTCTCACATAGCAGCTACTCACCCAAGACACAGATCTAAGCCTTAGTTTACACATTAGAAAAATGTAGACGCCTACCAACATCGTTCATTGATTTCATTCCCTCCTATCATACTTATTGGAGGTCCACAATATAGGCTTAGACCTAATGCTAACGATGTACTCAAAACCTGCGTAGAGGAACTCACAGCCTAAAGTTTCAAATGAGACAATGTACGTGAAAGTTCCCTAAAGGCCATTGGGAAGACTCAGAAGACAGTTGCTGGTGTGACTCTTGTCTTTCAGTCCCCACGGAGCCCTGTCCCTTTGAGAACTTCATTTGTCTCCTGGATGCTCGCCTGGAAAGTGGAGCAGGGGAGGCCGTCGTAAATAACACAAAAGAGCAGCTTTTCATTCTGGAAAAAACGAATAAAAGGAGTTCACTGAACCTGTATGCATTCAATCTGCTGAGTCCAGACCGAATGACAGAAAGGGCAGCGGATGCTCGAGGAAGAGCTGGGGGCCTGGCCCAAGGTTGGGGAGAAAACTGGGATCCCAGCTGCGCACGCGCGCTCTGGTTTTAGCCCCGCTCAGAGCCCGACGACGTGGGAAGCCTAACGTCAAAGTCTACGTAGGAAGACGTAGGGAAGGCGGCAAGGAAGACGCTGGGCTTCGGGTCACGTGATGCGGCGGGAGGGGCGTCGGCTCCTCCCTCCGCAAGATGGCGTCCTTGCTGCAGTCGGACCGGGTTCTCTATCTAGTCCAGGGAGAAAAGAAGGTTCGGGCCCCGCTCTCGCAGCTCTACTTCTGCCGCTATTGTAGCGAGCTGCGGTCGCTGGAATGTGTGTCTCACGAGGTAACGGAGTCGTCCCATAGACAGTGGGGGCGGGGGGCGCGGCGTTCACCCTAGTCACTGCCATCGGCGGGCTGGAGCTATTTTCCCTCCTCACTGATTGGCTATGTCTTCCGTCACTCAGCTTTGCCTTAGGTTTAATTTGCTTATAATTTGTCACTTGGAAAGGAGGAGCAGCTTCGGGTGGGGCTGAGCGGATCTTCTGGGTCTAGAGCGGCCTCTGATTGGACAAACTTGACTTAGGGACCGTGCCTGTCTCCGATGGGGCTTCTTCATTGGGTGGACTACGGAGAAAGGTCTGGGAATGCTTAAGTTCTGCCCACCTGAGGGGCGAAAAAGCTCCTTTCCACGACTGATTTCGAGGATGGAGGGAGGCGCAGGCATTCTCATTTATGGCCCTCCCATCCTGGAAGTTCTGCTCCCCTTTTGTCCAGAAACTGGGCCACCATCGGACTGCCTTGCCCTGTACCTGACTCAGGCCAAGGCCTGCAGCCGGGAAGTGGCTGGGGCGGAGTGAACTATGTGAAAAGCGCTCAGAATAGAGCATGTCATGTAAGAAGCTGAAAGTGTAGTTCATCGATCTAGTGAATGGTGCTGTTCTTCACTGGCACAAGTGGGCGTCCGAAGTTGGATTGCTCAAAAAGAAGACCCCGGCCAGTAAAAAGTCACCAAATAACAAAACCCCAAAACTAATGCAGTGCTTGGCACATCTTGTTTATTCAGGAAGCTTTAGGAATTAAAAGGCAAGTAAGACATAAAATGTGCTGTTTAATAAGCCATAATCTAGTAAAGAAAAAGCTAGTGGTAATAATAGTTGCTGCTTATTCAATACTCGCTATGTACCATGAGCTTTATGTAATCTCTCCAAACCAATAAAGTAGATACCTTTTTAAAAAAATTTTTTTTACAGATAAAGAAACATACAGAGTGTTTGCTGTAAATCACACTGCCAGTAATTTGGGGGTGGGAGGGAGTACCTGGATTTGAATCTAAACAGCCTGACTCAGAGTTTTTTTTTAACTGAAGATCCCAGGACTGTTACATTGCATATGAAAATCACATACTATAAGCCATTTTATGTATTATCAATTATTATTTTATTGGAGATACTTTTCATAATAGGAATAGTCAAGAAAAGCAATTAAATAATACAAGAAAAATCGTATATATTAAAAATATGGCATTCATTTTTCTTCTCATCTCCATTAGCACTTATGTGTCTTTCCTTGATGATTCCCTATTCCAGCTCCACCTCCAGAATTTATTGGATCATATTCTCCTATGGTGAATAGAGTGCTCAGTCTCCATGATCTGTCTCTAAGGCTCTCTTCAATTAGGACATCCAGTCTGTGATAGCATCTTTTACAGCCTGCTGTGTACCTGTGATGTGGAGGCCATTAGAGTTCAGGGAAAGATGTGGTTCTGAGGGCTGGGGCAGGCCATGAAGTTCTAACGGAGAATCTGGGTCTGGAGCTGCACATGAACAGACAAGCACAATTTAGAAAGAGAGGGAAAAAAGAATGACTTATATTTTGCCTTGTTTGATGAGTCAGTGCAGATATTAGTTAGCAATACTGTATTTTATGTTTCTGGAGATTATTTGAGCAACAACTTGATTAATCTTTTCAAATTGGCCTGTTTATAGCAGATGATGAAAAAAGCCAGTTTCTATCATAGTATTTATGTTCCAGTGATTGTCTTCATTTGCAGTTGACTAGAGTTCTATAATTGTCAAATAAGACCTATATTAAAGAAAATAATTATTCTGAATTTTTTTTTTTTTTTTTTTTTTTTTTGAGACGGAGTTTCGCTCTTGTTACCCAGGCTGGAGTGCAATGGCACGATCTCGGCTCACTGCAACCTCCGCCTCCTGGGTTCAAGCAATTCTCCTGCCTCAGCCTCCTGAGTAGCTGGGATTACAGGCATGCGCCACCATGCCCAGCTAATGTTTTGTATTTTTAGTAGAGACGGGGTTTCACCATGTTCACCAGAATGGTCTCGATCTCTCGACCTCGTGATCCACCCACCTCGGCCTCCCAAAGTGCTGGGATTACAGGCTTGAGCCACCGCGCCCGGCCTATTCTGACTTTTAAAAAATAAAATTAATTTAATTTTTGGACTCCAGTTTTTGAATTAAATACAGTAATACTGTCCCATTAATTTGTTTAAAAATCTCAGCCAGGCGCGATGGCTCAAGCCTTTAATCCCAGCACTTTGGGAGGCCAAAGCGGGTGGATCACGAGGTCGAGAGATCGAGACCATCCTGGTCAACATGGTGAAACCCCATCTCTACTAAAAATACAAAAAATTAGCTGGGCATGGTGGCACGTGCCTGTAATCCCAGCTACTGAGGAGGCTGAGGCAGGAGAATTGCCTGAACCCAGAAGGCGGAGGTTGCGGTGAGCCGAGATTGCACCATTGCACTCCAGCCTGGGTAACAAGAGCGAAATTCCATCTCAAAAAAAAAAAAAAAAAAAAAAAAAAACCTCTGATTGGGCTGGGTGTGGTGGCTTACGCCTGTAATCCCAACACTTTGAGAGGCTGAGGCTGGTGGATCACGAGGTCAAGAGATGAGACCATCCTGGCCAACATGATGAACTCCATAGAATTCTATGATAATCTAATGAAGAGATTAATAAAATAATCCAATTTGTAAAGTTGTGATCAAATATCCTTCTATCTGGCCTACCTTTATATGACTGTAGAAACGTGACCATACTTTAATTGTTAAAGAAAATGTTTTAAAGATTTCTCATTATTGAAGTAAGTTATAGAACTCTAGTCACCTGCAAATGAAAAGACAATCACTGGTACATAAATACTATGATAGAAACTGGCTTTTTTCATTATCTGCTATAAACGGGCCAATTTGAAAAGATTAATCCAGTTGTTGCTCAAATAATCTCCGGGAACATAAAATACAGTATTGCTAACTAATATCTGCACTGACTCATCAAAAAAGGCAAAATACAAGTCATTCCTTTTTGCCCCTTTTCCAAATTCGGCTTGTCCATTTATTATCCTGTCTCTACTAAAAATACAAAAAATTAGCTGGCCATGGTGGTGTGCACCTGTAGTCCCAACTACTCAGGAGGCTGATGCAGGAGAACTGTTTGAATTCAGGACTCGGAGATTGCAGTGAGCTGACATCAGGCCACTGCACTACCGCCTGGCGACAGAACGAGGTACTCCGTCTCAAAATAAAGAAAAAAAACCTCATTGGTTGGCTATAGCTGACTACGTAAATATTAATTTATGCTTTTCTTCGGTGAACTTGTGTTACTTCAATAATGAGAAATCTTTTAAAAATTTTTCTTTAACAATTATAGTCAAGTTTTTATAGTCATATAAAGCTAGCCAAGATAGGAGGATATTTGGTCTCAACTTTACAAATTAAATTATTAATCTCTTCATTAGATGATCATAGAATTCTATGGATTTCAATTGGAAACTGTAGATTATTAAATAAACCTCTTTTAACACATAAAATCCCAATGAGAGAGAATAGGAAAGATTGGAAAAACAGAAGGGTTTTTTAAATACAGAAGGCAAAAAAAAACAGAAACAGGTGCCTGAAGAATAAACCCTAAGCTGCAAACAGTCTGCCTTCTTCTACAGTATAACCTATTTTAAAATTCACTGTTTGACAAGACATATACACAAGTTAAGCTGAGTTTCTCCTCTTTTTTTTTTTTTTTTTTTTGCCTTGTTTCTTCCTAGGTGGATTCCCATTATTGTCCCAGTTGCTTAGAAAATATGCCATCGGCTGAAGCCAAACTAAAAAAGAATAGGTAAGACCTGGATTGATTTTTTTTTTTTTTTTTTAACTCCTGTTTTACTCAACTGTTTTCTAAAATATCTGGCTAAAAAGACACAGGGAATTAACTTTTCTAACCAGCTGTTTTTCATTTTTAAGCTTCACTATTGCCAAAGATGAAATGCCCTTTGATTTTTGAAATACATTTTCTACTTTAGAACAGTTTTATACTTTAGAATTATTGTGAAGATAGTAGGGAAAGTTCCCATCTACCTCACATCCAGTCTACCCTGTTGTTAACATTTTACATTAGTGTGGTATATTTGTTACAATTAATGATCCAATATTGATATATTATTATTAAATAAACTACATTTTATTCAGATTTCTTTAGTTTTTCCCTAGTCTCCTTGTTTTCCAGGATTCTTTTCAGGATATCACATTATATTTAGTAATCATGTCTCCCTAGGCTCCTCTTGAGTGTGATAGTTTCTTAAAATTTCCTTGGTTTTGATGACCTCAAAGTACTGCATACTGGAGAGGTATTTTGTAGAATGTCGTTCCATTAGGATTTGCATCATGTTTTTTTCTCATCAGACCAGGGGAATGTATTTTGGGGAGGAGAACCACAGAGGTAAAGTGCCATCTTTCATTATGTCATGTCAAGGGTAAATACCATGAATGTGACCTACCATTGTTGGTGTTAACCTTGATTATCTGGCATGAGCTAGTGTTTGTCAGGTTTCTCCACAGTGAAGTTACTGCTTTTCCTTCTTTTTTGTACTTTACTCTTTGGAAGGAAAATCACTGTCACAGAACATACTTAAAAGACTATAGAATTTTGTCCCCCTGTCCTTGAAGACTATCGGCATAAATTATCTGGATTTGGAATTCTTTTGCATGGAAGATCTGTGTCTTCTCCCCCATTTATTTATTTTTTAAATCACTTACTTATAGGACAGTGGGATGATGAATATTTATTTTACACTTTGGATTATAATCCGATACTACTTGATTTATTTATTTATTTATTTTGCTCAAATTATTTCAGCTTAGGCTATTGGGAGCTCTTTCAGTTGACTCCTAGATCCCTTTGGCATACCCCCATCATTAGGGGCAGGGGAGAGTTCTGTTCATTTTTACTTGTTCATTTTCTTGCCAGTACTACAAGATACTCCAGACTCATCTTGTGTGTATATTGTGTGTGGGCCGGGGGTGGTGTGTGTTTGAGATAGTGTCTGGCTTTGGTGCCTAGGCTGAAGTGCAGTGGTGCAGTCTCGGCTCACTGCAGCCTCAGCCTCCCAGGCTCAAGCAGTCCTTTCACCTCAGCCTCCTGAGTAGCTGAGACTACAGGCACATGCTACCACACCTGTCTAATTTTTGTATTTTTTGTAGAGACAGGGTTTTGCCATGTTGCCTATGCTGGTCTCAAACTCCTGGGCTCAAGCAGTTCACTTTGGCTTCCCAAAGTGCTGGGATTATAAGCCTGAACCGCTGTACCTGGCCTCATCTTGTATATTCTTTGTCTCAGCCTTACAATTGTTTCTCCAAGGAACCTTGGTTCACTTTATTGGAGAATAGTCTTAGAAACCAAGGTGTGGCTGCTGGGCATGCTCATTTCTCCTGCTTGGTGTTTAGTTTTTAGCTTGAAGTGAAAGTCCTTTTGCTATTAGTCATACTCCCTATACCCTGATGGATGTGAACCACTATTATGTGTCTTTCCTGACCTGAGAAGTAACCCCTGATAACCGGATACTGTTTTGTATGCTTTCTACAAATTAATTTTTATCATTTGATCCTCAAAGCTTCCTTTTAAGGTAAGTACTATTATTAACTTCTTTTGATAGCATCTACATGGCAGACTATAACAGATAATGCAAGTTATGTTATAGAACAGAACTTCAAGGCAAGTACAGGACCACAGGAGAAATCTTGATAATCCGTGGTGGTGAGAGAGTTAAAAGCAACAAGACGTAGGGACCTCCTAAAGCAGAAGTTGGCTGAGCACTAGCAAGAGTAGCATTTAAGGAGAGAACAGAAAGCCCTGGAAAAGTACTGCTTCTCAACCATTCCAGTTCGATAGCATTGTTTGGTATCTGTTTCAGCTCTCTGGCACAGCAGTCAGTTATTTTCCAAATCCAGTTTCACAGCTTCTTGTGTTGTTGATTCTGAGTTTTCTGTAGCACAATTGGTCTGTCCTTTCTAAAGGCATAAGCTGTGACTTCAGAATTATTGTGAATTATTTCTCTTTTCCTCAGAAATCTTTATGATCAATACAGACATTAAAAAGAGTCTGGAATAGTGAACTGTATCTGTTAACAATGATTCTCTCTGTGGAGTAAGATTGGGTTGGGCTCAAATTCTTACTTATGCAATAATTGCATATTTTTTAAAAATAATGAGCTTGTAGTACTTTTGAACTGTTAAAACAAAGTTGGTAAGAATGTTGTTTTTTTTTTCTTGAGAGACACTCGTGTTTATATTTGTTCTCTCTTGAATTCCTAACACCTGGAACAATGTCTGGCACATAGTAAATGCTTGACAAATATTTGTTAAATGAATGAATGGTTGCGTTTGCCATGTCACAGATGTGCCAATTGCTTTGACTGTCCTGGCTGCATGCACACCCTCTCTACCCGGGCCACAAGCATCTCCACACAGCTTCCAGACGACCCAGCCAAGACCACCATGAAAAAAGCCTATTACCTGGCATGTGGATTTTGTCGCTGGACGTCTAGAGATGTGGGCATGGCAGACAAATCTGTAGGTGAGTGAGGTGGACTTCAGCATGAAATTTTGTGCAAATGGCAGTGCTGTAATTGCTCATAGGTAATTATTTATGTAACCTGTTGGGGCAGTTAGAGCTAAATTCAGAATATTTTGTCATTGACTCTTCTGTGTTCCCATATTTTCACATTTATAAACCTTAGTGTTTTCTTAGTTTTGTTTTTTTTTTTTTTTTTTTTTTTTTTTGAGACAGAGTCTTTCTCTGTCACCCAGGCCGGAATGCAGTGGCGTGATCTTGGCTCACTGCAACCTCCGCCTCCCGGGTTCAGGCGATTCTCCTGCCTTAGCCTCTTGAGTAGCTGGGATTACAGGCATATGCCACCATGCCCGGCTAATTTTTGTATTTTTAGTAGAGACAGGGTTTCACTGTGTTGATTAGGCTGATCTCAAAATCCTGACCTCGTGATCCACCCGCCTCAGCGGTGGATAAATAAATAAAGTGCTAGGATTACAGACATGAGCCACCACGCCCAGCTGACCTTAGGGTTTTATCTGAGATTGGGTAAGATGTAGTTTTCTTAGAGTTGATAAAATAACGTTTATAAATCTGGTACATTCTTGTGATCAGAATATTAATGCTCTTCATGAAAAGCATTCATGTTAAAACACATAGATAAAGTTAAAAGATATAAATGACAGACTAAGAAAAATAGGTATATAACGCGCTTAAGATAAATACTCAAAAATGAGGAACCCTTATAAGTCAATAAGAAAAAGACTTAGGGCCGGGCGCGGTGGCTCAAGCCTGTAATCCCAGCACTTTGGGAGGCCGAGGTGGGTGGATCACGAGGTTGACAGATCAAGACCATCCTTGTCAACATGGTGAAACCCCATCTCTACTAAAAATACAAAAAATTAGCTGGGCATGGTGGCACATGCCTGTAATCTCAGCTACTCAGGAGGCTGAGGCAGGAGAATTGCTTGAACCCAGGAGGCGGAGGTTGCGGTGAGCCGAGATCATGCCATTGCACTCTAGCCTGGGTAACAAGGGTGAAACTCCGTCTCAAAAAAAAAAAAAGAAAAAGACTTAGTAGAAAAACAGACAACGGATAGAAACAGGAGTTCTCATAGTAGAAATAAAAATGGTCAATAAATATGCAAAAAGATACATTCAGCTTCCCTAGTCAACATGTAAATGCATATTAAAACTTCCATTTATTTGGCAGAACATTTTAAATCCGGTTGTGTTAAGCTGGAACATGGGAGAATAGTTCTGTCATACGCTACCATCTTGGACACCAATTTTAAAACATTTATCAAAATTTTAAATTGCTTATATTTTTCTGTGCAGTAATTCCATGTCCAAGTGTCTGTCCTGGAGCATTCAAACGTGTGCTCAAAAACTTTTACATATATATATAAAATGTTTATCAATGAAAGAGAAAAATTGTGTATGATTGGATTTAAGGACCACCTAAGGCATTATATACCTACATCATTTGAATGTTTGAGTGTTTTAGAGTAGAGATTGCATTTAACTTTATCAGGAAACTTTCTTTTTGCAAATTCTGTATTTCATGGTTAACATCAGAAAGTGGAAACATTTTCTGTATAGTCCATAATCTTGAGTTGCTTTTGATTTAAGTGATCCAAAGTTAAAAAAAAATTAATAAAATCTTGAGTTGCTATTAATGCTTTATATAAGCAGCAGCATCACTGACTCCCTATTTTTTTCATTCTGAAGTTTCATTGTTTTAATTTTCTAAAAATATTTTAAACTTGTAAAAATTCTAATTTCGGGATTTTCATAAAAAGTACAGAATATTGACTAATAAATGGGGAAGCTCATAACCAACATTTGGCATAACTAAAATGAAGACAGACTGGCTAAAACCTTTCTATAGATTTACACAATTTGAAAGTAAAATGAATGAAGTTTCTTTAAATTCAGTTATGTTCTTAAAAATTAATCCTCGATGCTATTGAGTTTGCTCTTTGGTTTAGAATGCTTTGAGCTGTTGATGGTTTTTCTTCCTTTGTATATTGAGTTGATAAAATACATACTCTTTGTTTTTTTTTTCTTTTTTTGAAAAATCAGAAATTCTACAATACACTCGTTTCTTTTTTTTTTTTTTTTTTTTTTTTTTTTTAATAAAGACGAGGTTTCACTATATTGGTCAGGCTGGTCTTGAACTCCCGACCTCAGGTGATCCGCCCGCCTTGGCCTCCAAAGTGCTTGGATTACAGGCGTGAGCCACCACGCTCAGCTTATACTCTTTTCAAAAACGGGAAGTTAAATAAGTATATCTTAGTTCCTTAAAAATGCTCATTGGTGAATCACTATTTACCTAAAGTGTGACTGAAAATAGAAAAATTCTATAACATCTTTTTAAATTGCCAGTAAATATTTGCGTGTATGTCTTAGTGTCAGTATAGGAGATAAGTTAGTTTATCAAAGAAAGTTAAATGTTAAAAGTAACCTCAGAGTGGGATAATATAGGCCTCAGTGAATTAAAGTATTGTTTTTTCATGTTTGTATTTTGTGTCTTTTTATCAAATAAAAGAAACAGCCCAGAAAACCGAGTAGATTTCTCAGTTTGTTACGCTGTTAGTGAATGTTTATGCTTTTTGGATTATGAGTCATGAAGACTGGAGAATTTATATTTCAGTACTATAAACTTGTTCTGGCTTCTAGAACTCTATCTCCTCTAGGGTATCTTGACAGTGATAATTGAATACCAGGAACTCTTAAAGAGTATGCATAATTTCATTTCTTCCATGGTGTCATTGGCATCTCAGAAGCCCCAAAGCCACTTAAGTTAGAACTGTTTGTTTATTTATAAGTCCTTGTTTATGATGTACAGAGAAAAACTCACAATGAGATCATTTTATATCCCAAATTGCTATTTAGAATAAATTTCCAGTTCAAAAGAAGCAATTAGATAAAATATTCAGATGTTTAAAAAAAATCACAACTGAAACATTTCTTTCACATAATTATTTTTCATGATTGCCTTAAGTGAGGCAACTTCTAAAATATTAATATTATACTAAAATGTTATTTCTGCCATTTCTTGCAAGAGGATGCAATGTCACCTTCAGCAAGGTAATTGAGTCCTTTTTGTTTTCAAAAAAAGTGATTTTATATGAAATATGTATATTCATGTACTTATCACCCAAATTAAGAAATGAAACATAGCCAAAACAATTTAAGCCCTTTCCCCTACTGTATCTGTCTTCCTGTCTGCCCTAGAGATAATAATCACAATCCTGAATTCAGTGTTCATTAGCATCCGTGCATGTCTTTATATTTCTTCACATACGTATGTAGCTACAAATAATATTTTTCACTATTAAGCAAATGGAAACATACTGTATGTTCCTGCTGTATCAGCATTATGTTTCTGATACACAGTTGATTCCTGTATGACTCACCACAGTTTATTTATTCCACCTTCTCTTGATGAACATTTATGTTGTTTTCGTTTTCTTTGCTTTTGAAAAAACAGAGCTGCTGGAGTCAATCTTGTGTGTGTTTCCTAAAGCACAAGGGTAAGGGCTTTCTATATAACTAGAAGTAAAATTGCCAGTCCTAAGTCTTGTACATCCTTAGCACTCCAAAATGGTTTGGCAGTCTTTGCTCCCAGTAGTAACATATGCGTAAACTACCTGTTGCTCCGGTTCCTTGTCAGCTCTTACTCTTTTTGGATTCTAAAGTTTTTCCAGACGATGATTGTGAAGTGGTATCTCATTATACCTTATTTTTTCCCTTTATTTGGTTAGCTTTATCAAGATATAATTTATGTATAATAAAGCTCACCAATTTTAATGTAGAATTCTGTGATGTTTGATAAATGTATAATCACATAGCCACCATCATAATCATGATATACATCATTTCTATCCCCCTGGAGTTTCCTCATGCCCTTTGCAGTCAGTTTCTTCTCCCCGCCCCCTGGCCCCTGACTAGACTGATATGCTTTCTATCACTAGAATTTTGCCTTTTCTAGAAGTATATATAATTGGAGTCTTATATTACGTAGTCTTTTGTGTCTGTCTTCTTCTGTTTAACATAATGCTGTTGAGGTTCATCCGTGTTTCTTCTTTATACTCTCCTTATTGTTGAGTAGTATTCTGTTGTATGGACATACTTCATTTTATTTTTTCATTCTCCACTTGATAGACATTTGGATTGTTTTCGGGTTTTGGCTTATATGAATAAAGGTGCTGTGAACATTTGCTTATAAGTCTTTGTGTGAATGCATGTTTTCATTTTTCTTGAGTAAGTGCCAAGGAGTGAAATTATTAGGTCATAGGATAAGTATGTGTTTAATTTGGCTAGAAGCTGCCAAACTTTTTTTTTTTATTTTTAAAGTAGAGATGGGGTTTCTTCACATTACCTGGGCTGGTCTTCAACTCCTGAACTCTAGTAATTCTGCCTCAACCTCCAAAAGCGCTGGGATTAAAGGCATGAGCCACTGCACCCGGCCAATGCCAAACTGTTTTCCAAAGTGACAGAACAATTTTGGATCCTCACCAGCAAATTAGGAGAGTTCTAATCCCTTGACAACTCGATATTGTCAATCTTCCTCATTTTAGCCATTCTAACACACGAACAGCAGTGCAGTTTTAATTTGCATTGTCTCAGTATGTTTATTTACCATCCATATATCTTTGGTGAAATGTCTGTACAAATCTTTTCCCTACTTTTTAACTGGGTTTTTGCTGTTGTTGTTGGTTTGTTTTAATTTGGTTTTTAAAACTGAGTTGTGAGAGTTCTGTATTCTGCGTACAAGTCCTTTGTTGAATATATGTTTTGCAAATATTTACTCCCGGTCTGTGGCTTGCCTTTTCCTTTTCTCAGCAGTGTCTATTGAAGAACTCAAGTTTATAATTTCAATGAAGTCTAATTTATCATTTTTTAAAAATTTTATAGTTTGTGCTTTTTGTGTCCTGTTAAAGAAACTTTAGCGTAACCCAGTGTAACTAAGATATACCCATGTCTTCTAGAAGCACTGCAGTTTTAGCACTTTATGTTTTGCTCATTTCAAGGGAAATTTTATAAATGTTGTGAAGTAAGGATCCTTTCGTTTTTTGTTTTTTGTGGGGGTTTTTTTGGAGGTGGGTATGTGGATATTTCATTGTTGCAGCACCATTTGTTGAAAGTATTCATTATAGTTTTACTTTCAGTACTTTCAGTTTTCTTTAATAAAGTTTTCCTTTGTGATTTATGCTGTGTGTTTCTTACATAAGAAATTCTTCTCTAAGCCAAGATCATAGAACATAGAAAATGCACAGCGTTACAGATAAGAGCAAAGTCTCTGGAGTCAGACTGAGTGTGAATCCTGGCTTTACCACTTACTGTCCATGTGACTTTGAGCAAGTTATTTAACATCTCTGAGCCTCAGTTTCCTCATATATGAAATGAGACTAATGAGAGTCCTTATCTCAGTGAGTTGTTATTAGAATGAAAGAAAATGTAATACATTTCAAGTGCCTGGCACAGAGGCTGTGCATTAGTGGTGGTGATGGTGGTGATCATTATCACCATTATTCTATGTTTTTTTAAAATTTTGTTCTTACCATTATGGTCTGTAGAACTTAGGTTTTAAGTTTCATTTTATGGCCTATGGAAGACTTGTTTTATAAAAATAAAATTTTCAAATTGTGAAAGTCTTATTTAATATTCTTTTATTTTGTAGCTAGTGGCGGTTGGCAGGAACCTGAAAATCCTCACACCCAACGGGTAAGTAAAGGGTCATCAGAGAGAGAGGATAAAATCAGAAAAGAGTAAAAGACTGAAGATGTTACATTTTATCAGTGGGTATGACCTTTGTTTAGAAGTCCATGAGATGTATTTTTGCATCTGTTGCACATAGAAAGTGCTCCTCGTTGTAAGACATAGAAATACCATGTCACTTTTTTCCAGGTGACTTAAGATAATGGAGAATCCTAGGTGTAGCTTTAGTTCTGTATTTGATTTGTACCTCAGGAAAAGGAACCAAGTTTTTGTTTTTTTCTTCACACACGCACCAGTAAGTTAAGGTTCCATTTGTTCTCAGATACTCTTAGAAATGTCATAAACGGCCGAGTGTGGTGGCTCATGCCTGTAATCCCAGTACTTTGGGAGGCTTTCCTTTGTCTTGACTTTAGATAACCTGGTGACTATGCACCTAGGTGATGATCTTTTTGTGACGAATTTCCCAGGTCTTCTTTGAGCTGCTTGTATTTGGATGTCTAGATCTCTAGCAAGGCCAGGCAAGTTTTCTCTGATCCTTTCCTTAAGTAAGCTTTCCAAACCTTTAGATTTCTCTTCTTCCTCAGGAACACCAATTATTCTTAGTTTTGGTCACTTAATATAATCGCAGACTTCTTGGAAGCTTTATTTTTTATATTATTTTTTCTTTGCCTTTGTCAGATTGGGCTAATTCAAAAGCCTTGTTTAAATGTGTCTTTCATTTCCAAAATTGTGATTATTATTTATGCTATCTGTTTCTCTGGAGATTTTTTTTTTGTCCATAACCTGTATTTTTTTTTAATTTCCTTAAGTTGGTTTTCACCTTTCTCTGATGCTCCTTTGAGTAGCTTTTTGAGTAGCTTAATAATTGACCTTCTGAATTCTTTTTCTTCTAAATTTTTTTCCTTCTAAACAATTCAGAGATTTCTTCTTGGTTTGGATCCATTGCTGGTGAGCTAGTGTGATCTTTTAAGAACCCCGTTTTGTCGTATTCCCAGAATTGTTTTTCTGGTTCCTTCTCATTTGGGTAGACTATGTCAGGAAAGATCTGGGACTTGAGGGCTACCGTTCGGATTCTTTTGTCCCACGGCATGGTTCCTCGAAGGTGCTCTTTCCCTTCCCCTAGGGATGCGGCTTCCTGAGAACTGGACTGCAGTTATTGTTACTGCTGCTCTGGGTCTAGCCACCCAGCACAGCTACCGGTCTTTGAGCTGGTACTGGGGAGTGTCTGCAAAGAGTCCTGTGATGCAATCTGTCTTCAGGTCTCTCAGTTGTGGATACCAGCACCTGCCCTGGTGTAGGTAGCAGGGGAGTGAGGTGGACTCTGTGAGGGTCCTTGGTTGTAGTTTAGTGTGCCAGTTTTCTTGAATGCTGGTTGTGCTAGCAGTGACTTGTCACGTGGACAGACTCAGGGCCTCTGGTTAGCCAGGATGTTACAGGGTGGTGGAATTAGCTGTTGTTTTCTCCTTTTGGGGTTGGGGTGGGGGGCAGGTTTCTTTTATGAGTTGCTGTAATGGCTTGAGTTCGTTAGCCTCCAGCCAGGACGTGATGCTTTCAAGAAAGCAACAGGTGCAGCAGTGTGGTGGGGATACAATCTTGTCCTAAAATTGCATGGATAAATATTTGAGTTTCTGAGGTGATCAGTGGGGCAATAGAGCACCCCAAGAGTTTAGTCTTTTGTCTTGGGCTACTAGGGCAGGTAGTGAAAGGTGGGGACGTGTCTAAGCTCAGACTCTTCTTGGGCAGGGCTTGCTGCGGCCACCACTGTGGAGGTTGAGTGATTCTCAGGCCAATGGAGTTAATGTTCTTAAGGGGATTATGGCTGTCTCTGCTGTGTCATACAGGTGGCCAGGAAGTAGGGGAAATCCAGCAGCGACAGGCCTCACCCAGCTCTCATGCAGCCAGCAAGGCCAGTCTCACTCCCACCGCGCCCCATCTTGCCTCAGGCTGTAAGCCTACCTGCTGAGAAAGCAAGCCAGCCTTTTGGGCTCCGCCCCTTCCCTACTGCGTACATGCTCATATCTGTACTTCCCCTTCACACTGTCCCCATCTCACTTCTGCCGAGGAAAATTTGCTCTCGGTCAAAATTATTACACAATTCACCTGGAAGTTCCGTCTCCCTGCGGTCCTTCCTCAATTCTACTGGCAGCACTCCCCAAGGACCCCTGTAAGATTAAAGTCAGAAACGGCTTCCCTGGGAACCAGGAGTGCCTACAGGGCTCTTCTCTCTGTTGTTTCTTCTACATTTATGTTTCACTCGGCTCCTAAATTTGTTTCAGCACTAGATAAGGTTAAACTTTTCTCCCACGATCTGGATTTTTAGGTTCTCCCATGAGGATGTGTGTTTAGAGGTGGACTTTCCCCCTCTCACACTTTGGGCACCCACCATTTTTCTGCTGTCTCACAGATTTTGCAGTGGCAGGCCACTTCTTTCAAAGGGTCTGTGAACTTTTTCAGTTTTCCTAGTATGTTCCTGCAGTAGTTCTTGGAGTAACAGTTTACAGTGTGAGTCTCCACATGTTGTTCTGTCTGTCTGAGGGGAAGCTGTAGGTTAGTCCAACCTCCTATCTGCCGTTTTTTTCACCACCTCATCCTCTTGAGTAGCTGGGACTATAGGCATACGCCCCCATGCCCAGCCAACTTTTGCATTTTTTTATAGAGACAAGGGCTCACTCTGTTGCCCAGGCTGGTTTTGAACTCAGGCCCCAAGCAGTCGACTCACCTCGGCCTCCCAAAGTGCTGGAATTAGAGGTGTGAGCCACCGTGCCCAGCCTTGTTTGAACTTTTTATGATTAATATATATTGCTTTCATAGTTGACATGTATTTTAAAAATTAAAAAGTGTGATGTAGTTGGGGAATAAAATACAGTATAAAATGTCATGTTCTTAGAGAGAAATGGTCCTGTGGCCGTGCAGAAACAAAATGAGAGCAGTTGTAAGGGAAATAAGTAATGAAGTAAGAGAGGAAGACATTTCCAAGCCTTTTCATTGCCCATTTCTTCCTGTCCTTGAGCTTCAGTTTTCCACCGGTTTAGAAAACAGATCCCATAGCAAAGAAAGTTCTCTGAAGAAAAAGGGCAAACTTGCCCATCTTCATTTGTCTTCTCTATTCATTATGTGTCTAGTCAGTGTAGTGGATTAATTTGGTATGTTTTCTGTTAGTGTTTTTGTGTACTGAGTCTGTGATTTTTTTACAGATGAACAAATTGATTGAATATTACCAGCAACTGGCTCAGAAAGAGAAGGTTGAGCGAGATCGCAAGAAACTAGCACGGCGTAGAAACTATATGCCTCTGGCTTTTTCGGTGAGAATTGGGTACTAAAAGGATTTGTGAGACCTGTAGGGCCTAAGAACAGTGATCCTTTTAGAAAGTGGCCATTGTCTAGATTTCTGAATGGTGGATAGCAGAGAGAGGGATTCTTCAAATTATAGATATTTAAGTCCAATAGTTATGCTTTTGCCATATCATTAGTTCATTTGAGTTCTTTGTGTTTTAAGGACATTTGTGTTTCTTTCTCCGTGACTCCCTTTTATCTTCTGATCATTTCCTCAGAAAAGCTGTTAATTTCGTAGGCACTCCAGAACTCTACGTACAGCTTTTGCATATTACAGAAAGTCTGAGGAGGGATGTGAGCAAATGGTAGATTTTAGTCATGTGACCCATGTAGCCTACCTTTGACATCCTGGCAGTAGTGGTTTCTCAGCGTTAGTTATAATTTTTTTTTAACCTCCTCCCCTGTTTCTCCAAGATGAAAAACACTGACTTTTTACATAGTACATTTGTGTGGTTAATAGTAATATATGCAAGTAGAATTTGTGATAAGAATTATTTATGAGAGTCATTCTCTACCAGTTTATGTACTGCTAGTAAGAAACAAGAAATTAGGATTTGGAATTTTTGTTATTTCCCCCTAAGTTTTATTTGCTCTCATAGTACAGTTTGTTTTCTGTGTGCTTGCTTGGGGCCCAGCAGATTGACATTCAATAAATACCTTTTATTGAATGACAATGACGTGTCAAGCTCTGTGCTAAACACTTTACACATATTACTTTATTTATTCCTCACAAAATCTTGTGAGAGATCATATCCCCTTTTTACACTAGAGGAAATGAGACTTGGTTAAGCAACTTGTCATACTACATTCACATGAAAATTAGTTAAGTCATTGAAACCCTAAGGGTTGGTAAAGTCTATATAAAAATATCTAGATTAAGCTGGGCATGGTGGCTCACGCCTGTAATCCCAGCACTCTGGGAGGCTGAAGTGGGAGGATCACTTGAGGTTCAAGACCAATCTGGCCAATGTCGTGAAACCCTGTCTCTACTAAAAATACAAAAAATTTGCTGGGCATGGTGGCACATGCCTGTAATCCCAGTTACTTGGGAGGCTGGGGCATGAGAATCACTATGCCCAGAAGGTAGAGGTTGCAGCGAGCTGAGATCACACCACTGCACTCCAGCCTGGGTGACGGAGCAAGACTCTGTCTTAAAAAAAAAAAAAAAAAAAAATCTAGATTAGAATTTAAAAACATTAACCCTTGCAAAGCACCTACATTTGCAAAAGAAGTGAGTTTTTCTGAATAGTCCAGTGGTACAGTCAGCATATGCAATAATGTATGTTATTTTAGGAGCGGAATTTGAATTAAATGCATTATTCTTCCAATTTTCCCATATAACCTGCCTGCTATATGCATTTGCTTCTATCTTATGCTGCATTTTTTGTCTCTGTTGCAACCTGCTGCTATTTTGGGGCTCTACAGCAACATACTATTCATGTAGTGGTAAGTTCTCCTTTATGATTCTTGCCGACCCTGAAGAAGTTAGCAGGTGACCACTGGTGTTCCAGGAAGACATCCATTGTGTATCTTAGACAATCCACATAGTTTTTGCCTGAGCCATAGCTTAGATATTTTTAGATTAATGCTAGAAGCTCACATTTGGTTCATTTTTACTGTATTAATGTAGTTTCAATCTCTCTGTTTAGTGCTGTTATTATTAAGAATAGAATAATGATGTGGGGCTACAAATTGCTTTCGTTGAAAGAACCCTTTAAATTAGGGTTTTTTTTTTGTTTTTTTTGTTTTGTTTTGTTTTTGCTTATTTCCCTGAGCTTCTCATGCTGTCCTACCCAAAATTTTTTCTTTTGATAAATAGGATGTGTAAATATGGACTTTCTAATAGGAATTTCTGAACTTTGTTTAGGACAAATATGGTCTTGGAACCAGGCTTCAGCGACCACGAGCTGGTGCATCCATCAGTACTCTTGCCGGACTTTCGTAAGTTTAGACATTAAATGTCTTTGAGGAGAACAGCAGGTATCAAAATCAATGTCAAAGGAATGAGATTAAAACACACACACACACACACACAGTTGGCAATGGAAAAGAAGATTCTTATACTTAGAAAAGACCTACGCCGAACAGATATTCTATGACAGAGAAATACTTCAATTATTGATACCATAAACTGAGGATAAGCAGATGGATCTTTGAGAAATTACTGCATTTTTTTTTTTAAAACCTTTTAGCCTTAAAGAAGGAGAAGATCAGAAAGAGATAAAGATTGAGCCAGCTCAGGCTGTAGATGAAGTGGAACCTCTACCTGAAGACTATTATACAAGACCAGTAAATTTGACAGAGGGTAATTTTCTACGTTATTCTACTTTGTTTCTAGTCTGCAACTAATTCTGTTTGTGTTTTTTATATACTTTGTGATTTGAGATTTTTAATGGAATAGTTGTTAGTAGTAAAATGATATGTAGAAAATCAAACAGCTATAATAGATGTAATTGTTTGAAATCTAAAATGTCAGATTTCTTTTCATTTTTATGAACAACACTCTTCATAAAGGCAGTATTGCATCATGTAATTACTGCTACATAAAAGTCCAATATTAAAGTCACTGTAAACTAAACCTAGTTTCTGCCTTTCTTTCTAGTAACCACTCTTCAGCAGCGTCTGTTACAACCTGACTTCCAGCCAGTCTGTGCTTCACAGCTGTATCCTCGCCACAAACATCTTCTGATCAAACGGTCCCTGCGCTGCCGTGTAAGTATTCCATTCTGTAGAACTGCCATTTGTATAAGAGGAAAGCAAAATTAATGTGGCTGGTGTCTGACCGTGGCAAAACCTTTGGAATGTAGTAACTACAGAAAATACTCGTAGAGAGCATACCAGTTGCCCAGGCACTATTTTAAATGCCTTCAGTATGAACAACTCTTATAACTCTGTGAGGTAGGTGCTACTGTGAAACCTGTTTTACAGATGTAGAAAATGAAGTATCTGAAGGTTAAGTACATAGGGTTAATCCCTAAAAGAATACTGAAAGACCTAAAATGCAATAAAATGCAAAAAAAGAAAAAAAAAAGAATTGATAACAAAATCAAATGAATTCTAAATTGACTTCCAATAATATGATTTTAATTATGTTTTCAATTGTATTATCAATGCATATAAATTACATGTTCTAAAAATCTGATATAACATGTCATAGGTTTTTGTTAAGATATAAAATTATAATATTGTTAAGAATAAAATTAAAAAAAAAAAAAAAGAATACTGAAAGAGTGTATAACTTTTAGGCTAGTGCTCAGGCTTAGGGAGGACCAATAAAAAATAATCAATTTAAAAGAAAGCAAGAAAAAAGAAAAATCAGTAAAATCCAGGCTCTGGTAATCTACAGAACACGTGACAGCGTTTCTTCAGTAAATAAATTGTATAAACAAAATGGAAAAAAAAGCTTTTAGATCAGTACTATCCAACAGAACTTTCTATGGTGATGGAAGTATTCTGTGTCTGTGCAGTCCTGCGTGTTAGCCACTAGGCACATGTAGTGGCTGTTGAGCACATGACATGTGATGGTGCAGCTGAGGTACTGAGTCTATCTTTAATTTCATTTAAATAACCACATGTTGCTAGTGGCTAAGGTTACTTAATCATTCTGTAGATTAGAAGATACTTAAAAATTTACCAACCAAACACAATGTGTAGATATTGTATAGATTCTGAGTTCAAACAAAACAGAAAGGGCCCAGGGGAGGAGGGAAGAAGGGAAAGAGGAAAGAAGGAAGGAAAAATTTGTGAAATCTTTGGGAAAATTTGAACACTGGTAGGATTTTTGATGCTATTAAAGAACTATGCAGCAGGGCACAGTGAAATGCACTTGTAGTCTCAGCTACTCTGGAGGCTGAGGCAGCAGAATCCTTGAGCCAGAGGAGTTTGAGACTGTAGTGTGTGATGATCGTGCCTGTGTATAGCCACTGTACTTTAGCCTAGGCAACATAGTAAAACCCTGTCTCGTGGGGAAAAAAAAAAAAAGATGTATTTTTTCCACAAAAAATGGCAAGTGTGTGGCCCACACCTGTAGTCCCAGCAACTCAGGAGACTGAGGCAGGAGAATCACTTGACCCCAGGAGACTGAGGCTGCTGTGAGCCGTAATCACACTACTGTACTCCAGCCTGGGTGACAAAGCCAGAAGATCCTGTTCCTTTAAAAAAAAAAAAAAAAATGGCCGGGCGTGGTGGCTCATGCCTGTAATCCAGGCACTTTGGAGGCCAAGGCGGGCCTATCACCTGAGGTCGGGAGTTCAAGACCAGCCTGACCAACATGGTGAAACCCTGTCTTTAAAAAAAAAAAAAAAAAAAAGAATGTGTGTAGTAAGATAGTAGATTAAAATATAGATGTATCAGTATTTACATTAAATACCAGTGAACTAAATGCTTCTATTAAAAGACATTGTCAGTCTAAATAATAAAGCAAATTACCGTGAGCCATCTATATGCTTATTATAAGAGGCACAAACATGAGAATTCAGAAAGGTTGAAAGTAGAGAGAGATGGGAAAGATATTGCACAAACACTAATTTTTTTAAAAGAGGGATAATTTGTTTAAAAAGAAGATTCAGTTTACAAAGAAGATACAACTGTCTAAAGTCATATGCACCAAATAATAAGACTCCAGATATGCTAACATTTGAGAAAATTGCGTAAGTGGGCAAATCATTTTGGGAAATTTTAACATACTTCTCTCAGTAACTGAGAGAACAAACAGTTGAAAATCAGTTAGAATATAGAACAGTTGGACAATTTAACTAGCAAACTTGACCAAATGGGCATTTATAGATCCTGTACCCAATATCTGCAGAATATATAAATTCTTTTCAAGTACACACAGAACGCTTATAAAGGTTGACTATATACTAGGTTATTATAAAGTAAGTCTGAACATTTTTCAGAAGATGAAATTTTTTTTGTCAGTTGAAAGCTTTTATTAACAAGAAAAGGTTTCCTTAATTCAAGTTAATACTTTAATAATAATAAATAGGTTAAGATGCTCAATAGCAGAAGGGTTTCTCTTTTGAATACTTTATTTCCATTTAGTCCTCTTAAATACATTTGCTTGTTGTGTGTTTATATTATAACAAGTAAAAGTTATGAAATACCAGCTGTTTTGGTATTTAACTGTACTGGAAAATGAAAATTTATAGAATTTTATCATTAGAACAGAGTTTTAAAAATCAAAGGAAAAGGATTTGTTTAAAATCTTTTAATATTAGGACATTATACCTTTTTTTAGAACAAATTTACAGAAATTTTACAAGACAATTTTTTAATCAAATATTAATATTTAATAATGCTTTATTTAGCCAAAACGTTATTTCAGTTGGAAAAACTATCTCCGGTTACAAGAAAAAAAAAAGTCAGAAACCTTACTGGATTTAATCTGCTTTAGAAATGTCCTAAGAAAAGTCTTATTTTAAATATTTTAAGTAGAAAAATGGTAATTTTAAAATAGTTATACTACTATTTCTGTGGTTTATGTACATATATTAAATAGTCTCTTTCATAGGAAACATGACTAGAAGTTTATCACGTTAAGCACTGTAAAATTAAAGGCAAGAGCTAATCACCTTTTAGCAAAAATAGTCTTATGCAACAGTTGCAAATATCAAAGCTATTATTTAGCAGTTGATAATGGTCTGGTACAAAATATAAACAAAGTACATCTACTGGATTGTTTTCAGCTTGTAGCTGCCCTCAAATATCCCAAATAAGGATTTCCCATAAATAAAAGCTGCAGTACAATTCACTTAGTGATTAGTTAGGCCAATCCTCCCCGACCATTATCCTTGTTCTTCTGCACCACCCCCAACCCCTGCAGTGGCACTATATTATTAAAAACGTTAAGTACCTGGGGTTTATGCTTCAGATCAAGACATCATTTGCATAATTTCAAATGATGTACAACTCTTCATGTAAAAAAGGATGTTTTGTGGTCACAATTACTTCAAAAAATAATTGTTTTCAAATAACCTGACATATCATACCTTAGCAATTACAAAATCATGATTTGGACACATGGCAGTTTGTAAGGTAGACAAATGTGAATTGCTAAAAGATGTGAACAGCTGTTTTTCTGCTTATGTTTAGAGTACTGCAAAAGTTGCATAATAACTTTATTTTTTCAATTAACATAACCAGCCCACAGTACAGCATACTAAATCACAAAGTACAAATCCAAGGAAGGTAATGCCTTTGCTAAGTTGTGGAATTTTGCCAAATCAATGCAGTTCTCTTTAATATGATAAAACCATATTTTTGTGGGAGTCACATATTACTTTAGTGATAATTTTCACCCCAAAAATATTTAAGTGCCAAATCATATTATTAAAAACATTATAATGGTTTTTAATGGTGGTTTATAACAGAGCAAGTTATTTTACACAAATTAATGTATTTTAAACTACACAATATCTCTTTTTAAGTGAGCTCCTTTGTGCAAGCTGTTAGAGTATCCAGCAGCAGAGCAATGCATGTCTAGAGGAGGTGGCTCTGCTCAGTTGTGGAGTTGGTCCAAAGCTAGGGAGAGTTGCAGTGTGTTGGAAAGCTTTGAAATTATATTTTAAGGAGATTGTCAATTTCCAAGGACTTGTTTAAAAATTGTTGAATTTTCAGGCGGAGCGTGGTGACTTAAGCCTGTAATCCCAGCACTTTGGGAGGCCGAGGTGGGTGGATCATGAGGTCAAGAGATCGAGACCATCCTGGTCAACATGGTGAAACCCTGTCTCTACTAAAAATACAAAAAATTAGCTGGGCATGGTGGCACGTGCCTGTAGTCCCAGCTACTTGGGAGGCTGAGGCAGGAGAATTGCCTGAACCCAGGAGGCGGAGTTTGCGGCGAGCCGAGATCGCGCCATTGCACTCCAGCCTGGGTAACAAGAGCGAAACTCCGTCTCGGAAAAAAAAAAAAAAAATTGTTGAATTTTCGCACAAATACTGGAACCCTCAAAATTAGACAGTTATTTCAAACAACATGAATTTCAGATGATCCCTTATATTTAGAAGCCCTGTATCTCGTTGTTTTGATCAAAAGCCATGTAGCCTTACACCAACTTATTTTTTTTTTAATTCTACTTAAAATATAGGTTTGTTGGGAGGCTGAGGCAGGAGAATAACTTGAACCCAGGAGGCGGAGGTTGCGGTGAGCTGAGATCGCTCCATTGCACTCCAGCCTGGGCAACAAGAGTGGAACTCCATCTCAAAAAAATAAATAAATAAAATATAATATAGGTTTGTTTTAAAAAACAAAGTAAAAACATGTCTGCTTGGAGAGACCTGGAGCACCCACCCAACACTGTCTACCAACTTTCATAATCGTTTTTTGTACATGCCGCTGCTGCCATTGGAGTCCCTATGCTTTCTCTTACTGAGGCTGTCAGTTGGAAGATGAAATTATAAAAGCATATTATTCTATCACAATGCAGTTAAGTTAGAAATCAGTAATTTCTGCCGAGTGCGGTGGCTCAAGCCTGTAATCCCAGCACTTTGGGAGACAGAGGCGGGTGGATCACGAGGTCAAGAGATCGAGACCATCCTGGTCAACATGGTGAAACCCTGTCTCTACTAAAAATACAAAAAATTAGCTGGGCATGGTGGCACGTGCCTGTAATCCCAGCTACTCAGGAGGCTGAGGCAGGAGAATTGCCAGAACCCAGGAGGCAGAGGTTGCGGTGAGCCGAGATGACGCCATTGCACTCGAGCCTGGGTAACGAGCGAAACTCTGTCTCAAAAAAAAAGAAATCAGTAATTTATTTATAGCAAAACTTACAGGATACAACTAAGACCATGCTTAGCTATACAGTATATATATTAGAAAAGAAGAAATATTAAAAGATTAGTGATGTCAGCATCCATTTCAGGAAGTTAGAAAAAGAGTAGCAAAGTCCAAAGACAGTAGGAGAACAAGTATTAATAAATTAAGAAACCGGGTATAGAGTACAAAAGAGCAACAAAATCAGAAGCTGATTTCTTTTTTTTTTTTTTTTTTTTTTGAGACAGAGTTTTGCTCTTGTTACCCAGGCTGGAGTGCAATGGCGCGATCTCGGCTCACCGCAACCTCCACCTCCTGGGTTCCGGCAATTCTCCTGCCTCAGCCTCCTGAGTAGCTGGGATTACAGGCACGCGCCACCATGCCCAGCTAATTTTTTTTTTGTATTTTTAGTAGAGACGGGGTTTCACCATGTTGACCAAGGATGGTCTCGATCTCTTGACCTCGTGATCCACCCACCTCGGCCTCCCAAAGTGCTGGGATTACAGGCTTGAGCCACCGCGCCCGGCAGAAGCTGATTTCTTAAACAAGTTTAGTAATAGAAATAGTTACATAAATTAAATTGATATAAATTTCTATAAATACGGTTAGTTATATAATACACCATTAATATAGCAATATCTACCAAAAGTAAAGTTACCTTTTGTCTCATCAACTTTTAGGAGTCTACCTTACACCTCCACAAATACAAACCAAAATATGCAGAGATCATGGTTTATCCACACACTGAGTACGATACATTTATTTAAAAGAATGTGCTAATAAGGGATACATTTTTATATGCAAAAAGCAAAGTGCATGGTAGGTATGTAACTTTTTGTATAAAAGAGGGAAAATACAAACGTACATATAAACAAAAAAAAGTGTCTATACATATATATTATATATATATGCAGATATAGGCCAGTGCATATGAGAAAATTTGTTGTATACTAAGTGTAGCATTTTAGATCATTGGGGAAAGAATAGGCTGTTTAAATTTTGCTAGGTGGAGTGATTATATGGAAAAAAATAAAATTGGGTTGTTCATACCCTACACAGAAGTTAATACCAGGAACATTGGAAATTTGAAGAGCAAAACTTCTAGAAGGAAATACAGGAAAATACCTTCATGACTTCTGGGTAGGAGAATGTTTCATAAGTAAGACAAATGAGGACAAACTATAATGTAAAGTTACATATTTTACTTCATTAAAAGTAAAACTTGGCCTGGCACAGTGTTTCACACCTGTAATCCCAGCACTTTGGGAGGCTGAGACAGGCAAATCATGAGGTCCGGAATTTGAGACCAGCCTGACCAACATGGTGATACCCTATCTCTTCTAAAAATACAAAAATTAGTTGGATGTGGTGGCAGGCACCTGTAATCTCGGCTACTCAGGAGGCTGAGGCAGGAGAATCACTTGAACCTAGAAGGCGGAGGTTGCAGTGAGCCGAGATTGCACCACTGCACTCCAGCCTGGTGACAGAGCGAGACTCCATTTAAAAAAAAAAAAAAAAGTAAAACTTGTACCCTCGTGCCAAAGAAAATCCAGAAAGAAATAAAAAGATAAGCCACGACTGAGAAAAGTAGTTTACAAGGTATATTATTAACAATTGATTAATGTCTAGAGTGTGTAAAGAACTTCAGCAAATCAGCAAGTAAATAAAGATAACCAGTATATCCTAACATGCAAGCTATGGCAGAAGAAATCCCAATAGCCAATAAATATGAAAGAAATTCAAATTTATACACTAGTCAGGGAAATGTACATTAAAACTGCAATGAGAAAATGAAAATTTTTTTTAATTTTAACTGCAACAGAATTATCATGTCATAATCATCAGATTAGTCAGCTATATTACAGTATCCATTAAAATAGCAAATACATATACCCTTTGATCTATTCTTAGGAAATTATCTTACAGATACTTAGACATTTGGGAAATGATTCATGTACAAGAACACTCATTGCTGCATTTCTTACCATAGCAAAATGATGGAAACATCCTGAATGTCCATCAATTTCTGTCTTCTGTAAGTTATAGAAATTGTTACAGCGGGACACAGAGGCTCCTCTATGTGTACTGAAATGGAACTAATTGCAAATTAGATTAAATGAAAAAAGCAAAGGGCAAAAAAATAAATATAAAATGTTCCCTTTTGTGTTACTGTGAAAAAAGCAAGGTGATGTATGCTTGTACTTTTATGTGCGTTAGGCTATCTGGAGAGAGGAATGGGACAGACAGATAACAGGTAATCTTTATGCTGGACACCTTTTTTGTACTATTAAAAAATATTTTAACCAGGTGTATGTAGTACATATTTTAAAAAGTAGCAAATAGTTGTTACTGGTTTGGTGCAGTGGCTCATGCCTGTAATCCCAGCACTTTGGAAGGCCAAGGCAGGAGGATTGCTTGAGCCCAGGAGTTGGAGGCTGTAGTGAGCTTTGGTTGTGCCACTGGATAACAGAGTGATATCCTATCTCAAAAAAAATTATTGTTACTCTGCCTTAAGCATAGGATCTGGAATTATGCTACCTGGATTTAAATCCCAGCATCCCTGTTTATTGGCTCTATGAAGTTGCACAGGTGGCTTACCATTCCTGTATACAATTTTAATCATCTATAAAATGCCAACCTTAATGTAATGCCTGTACCTACCTCATAAAGTTGATGTGATGTTTAAATCCATTTAAACCAGTGAGCACATTGCTCAGCACATACAGTAAGTACTCAGTATGTGTTATTTTTGTAGTTTTTTAAGTAGCACAGAGGTATCATAATATTGGATAGTGTGGTTGTACATATCAGGAGGTCCAGACATCTTATGTAAACTTTGGTTCGTATAAACTATTTCAAAAACATATGGTCATATAGCAGAATAAAACCAAACAAAATTCTCATAAATGCTTTCCTTCTGAATTTAGCAGCTCTATGGATTAGCAGAATGTGTTGTTGTCTTCTGATACATGTTATGTTTGTTTTCGTTTTAGAAATGTGAACATAATTTGAGCAAGCCAGAATTTAACCCAACATCAATCAAATTCAAAATCCAGCTGGTCGCTGTGTGAGTATTTTGGGATTAGTGTTTTTGATTATTGTTTTGAGTTATTTTGGTTTATTCTTCTTCCCCAGTGTGAAGTGTGTTTAATCCTAGCCTAAAAAAAAAATTTTCTTTTTTTAAATCACATCAAAATAATCTTGACATTCCGTTCCTCTTTAGGTTTTGAATTCAGTTACATGCCATGAAGTTTAAGATAAATCTGTAGACATAGATTCAGATATGTTGGTGTCAGGGATACAGTGACCTAGTATGATCTGGGGCAACGAGGTATGTTATTTGGTGGAGAGTCCCTAGTCTTTCATTACAAATTATAAAGTATCTGAGTTTGGGAATAATCCTTCAAAAAATTAAAAAGTAATAACGTATAGCTGATTGAAGAGTATCCCTGTAACTGTTCATTTTTTTTACCTGTGTTATGGTAACACTTCATTGACTCGGGTGAAAGTGATTAAGTTGTTAACTCTCTGGAACTTGTAAGTAGAAGAGAATTTTGTGTTTAAAAACTACGTATCAGACTATCTGAATAGTCCTCATTAGAGACAAATACAGCCACTTAAAACTTACCCAGTGTTCATCTAATTAAATGTTAACTGTTCACATCTTATCATACTTTACTAATACATTAATTTTTAAAATTACCTGGCAAACAAGAAAAATATTTTCAAAATTAGGAAGGTATTGTCTAGCTTTGGAGTAAGAGAACCCTTCTTTAGCAAGGCAGGAAACCCAGAAGCCACTAAGGACAAGAAACACCTTTGACCTTAGCAAAAAGAAATGGGCATTATAAAAGATGAAATTAAAGCCAGGCTTTTGAACGTTGACTTGATAAGCAATGAAATGAAGGCAGATATAAAGGTGTTCTTCAAAAACCAATGAGAACGAAGACACAACGTACCAGAATCGCTGGGACACATTTAAAGCAGTCTCTAGAGGAAAATTTGTAGCAATCAATGCCCACATCAGAAGCAAGGAAAGATCTAAAATCGACACCCTATTGTCAAAATTGAAAGAATTAGAGAAGCAAGATCAAAAAAACTCAAAAGCTAGCAGAAGACAAGAAATAACTAAGATCAGAGCAGAACTAAAGGAGATAGACACAAAAAACACTTCAAAAAAATCAATAAATATAAATCCAGAAGCTGGTTTTTTTTTTTTTTTTTGAGACAGAGTTTCGCTCTTGTTACCCAGGCTGGAGTGCAATGGCGCGATCTCGGCTCACCACAACCTCCGCCTTCTGCATTCAGGCAATTCTCCTGCCTCAGCCTCCTGAGTAGCTGGGATTACAGGCACGCGCCACCATGCCCAGCTAATTTTTTGCACCTTTAGTAGAGACGGGGTTTCACCATGTTGACCAGGATGGTCTCGATCTCTTGACCTCATGATCCACCCGCCTCAGCCTCCCAAAGTGCTGGGATTACAGGCTTGAGCCACTGCTCCCGGCCCAAGGAGCTGGTTTTTTTGAAAAGATCAACAAAATAGACCACTAGCCAGATTAATAAAAAAGGAAAGAGAGAATAATCAAATAGATGCAATAAAAAACAATATGGGGGATATCACCACAGATTCCACAGAAATACAAAGCACCGTCAGAGATTACTACAAACAACTCTGTGCACATAAACCAGTAAACCTGGAAGAAATGGATAAATTCCTGGACACTTAACACCCTCCCAAGCCTAAAGCAGGAAGAATTTGAAACCCCGAATAGACCAATAACAAGGGCTGAAGTTGAGGCGGCAATTAATAGCTTACCAACACACACAAAAAAAGCCCAGGCCCAGCCCAAATTCTACCAGACATACAAAGAGGAGCTGGTACCACTCCTTCTGAAACTAGTCCAAATGATCCAAATCATTTTATGAGACCAACATCATCCTGATACCAAAACCCAGCAGAGACTCAACAAGGAAAGAAAACTTCAAGCCAATATCCATGATGAACATAAATGCAAAAATCTTCAATAAAATACTGGCAAGCCGACTGCAACAGCACATCAAAAAGCTTATCCATCACTATCAAGAAGGCTTCATCCTGGGGATGTAAGGCTGGTTTAACATACGCAAGTCTGTAAATGTAATCCATCACATAAACAGAACCAAAGACAAAAACCACACGATTATCTCAATAGATGCAGAGAAGGTCTTCGACAAAGTTCAGCAGCCCTTTATGCTAAAAACTCTCAATAAACTAGGTATCGATGGAACATATCTCAAAATAATAAAAGCTATTTATGACAAACCAACAGCCAGTATCATACTGAATGGGCAAAAACTGGAAGCATTCCCTTTGAAATCTGGCACTAGACAAGGACGCTCTTTCTCACCACTCCTATTCAATATAGTACTGGAAGTTCTAGCCAGAGCAGTCAGGCAAGAAAAAGAAATAAAGGGTATTCAAATAGGAAAGGAGGAAGTCAAATTGTCTCTGTTTGCAGATGACATGATTGTATATTTAGAAGATCCTATCGTCTCAGCCCAAAGTCTCCTTAAACTGACAAGCAACTTCAGCAAAGTCTCAGGATTCAAAATCAGTGTGCAAAAGTCACAAGCATTCCTATACACCAATAACAGACTTAAAGAGAGCCAAATCAAGAATGAACTGCCATTCACAATTGCTACAAAGAGAATAAAATACCTAGGAATACCACTAACAAAGGATATAAAGGACCTCTTTGAAGAGAACTACAAACCACTGCTCAATGATATAAGGGAGGACGCAAACAGATGGAGAAACATTCCATGCTGATGGTTAGGAAGAATCAATATTGTAAAAATGGCCATACTGCCCAAAGGAATTTATAGATTCAATGCTCTCCCCATCAAGCTACCAATTACCTTCTTCTCAGAACCGGAAAAAACCACTTTAAACTTCATATGGAACCAAAAGAGAGCCCGCATAGCCAAGTCAGTTCTAAGCAAAAAGAACAAAGCAGGAGGCATCACGCTACCTGACTTCAAACTGTCCTACAAGTCTACAGTAATCAAAACAGCATGGTACTGGTACCAAATCAGAAATATAGACCAATGGAACAGAACAGAGGCCTCAGAAGTAATGTCACACATCTACAACCATCTGATCTTTGACAAACCTGACAAAAACAAGCAATGGGGAAAAGAGTCCCTGTTTAATAAATGGTGTTGGGAAAACTGGCTAGCCATGTGCCGAAAGCTGAAACTGAACTCCTTCCTTACACCGTACACTAAAATTAACTCCAGATGGATTAAAGACTTAAACATAAGACGTAACACCGTAAAAATCTTAGAAGAAAGCCTAGGCAAAACCATTCAGAACACAGGCATAGGCAAGGACTTCATGACTAAAACACCAAAAGCATTGGCAACAAAAGCCAAAATAGACAAACGGGATCTAATTCAACTCCAGAGCTTCTGCACAGCAAAAGAAACAATCATTAGAGTGAACTGGCAACCAACAGAATGAGAAAAAATTTTTGCCATCTACCCATCTGACAAAGGACTTATATCCAAAATCTACAAAGAACTAAAACAGATTTACAAGAAAAAAACAAACCCATTCAAAAGTGGGCAAAGGATATGAACAGACACTTTTCCAAAGAAGACGTATATGAGGCCAACAAACATGAAAAAATGCTCATCATCACTGGTCATTAGAGAAATGCAAATCAAAACTACATTGAGATACCACCTCACACCAGTTAGAATGGTGATCATTAAAAAATATGGAGACAACAGATGCTGGAGAGGATGTGGAGAAATAGGAACACTTTTACACTGTTGGTGGGAGTGTAAATTAGTTCAACCATTGTGGAAGACAGTGTGGCGATTCCTCAAGGACCTAGAAATAGAAATGCCATTTGACCCAGCAATCCCATTACTGAGTATATATCCAAAGGATTGTAAATCATTCTATTATAAGGACGCATGCACATGAATGTTCATTGCAGCACTGTTTACAATAGCAAAGACTTGGAACCAACCCCAATGCCCATCGTTGATAGACTGGACAGGGAAAATGTGGCACATAATACACCATGGAATACTATGCAGCCATAAAAAATGGTGAGTTAGTGTCCTTTGTAGGGACATGGATGAACCTGGAAACTATCATTCTCAGCAAACTGACACAAGAACAGAAAATCAGACACCACATGTTCTCACTCATAGGTGGGTGTTCAACAATGAGAACATATGGACACAGGGAGGGGAGCATCACATACTGAGGTCTGTTTTGGGGGACTAGGGGAGGGACAGCGGGGCATAGGGAGTTAGGAAGGATAACATGGGGAGAAATGCCAGATATAGGTGATGGGGATGAAGGCAGCAAACCACATTGCCATGTGTGTACCTATGCAACAGTCCTGCATGTTCTTCACGTGTACCCCAGAACCCAAAATGCAATAAAATACATATATATGAAATTAAAGCCAGGAACAGTGGCTCACACCTGTAATCCCAGCACTTTGGAAGCCTGAGTCAGGAAGATCTCTTGAGCCCATGAGTTCAAGACCAGCCTGGGCAACATAGTAAGACCCCATCTCTACAAAAAATATTTTAAATTAGCCAGGTGTGGTGGCATATACTTGTAGTCCTAGCTACTTGTGAGGCTGAGGTGAGTTGACCCCTTGAGCCCAGGAAGTCGAGGCCGCAGTGAGCTATGGTTGTGCCATAGCACTCCAGCCTAGATAATGGAGCAGGACTCTAAGGAAAAAAAATGTAAAAAGACAAAATTAGCGTCGAAGTCCTGAGACAAATAGTAAAGCAAGAAAGAATATTTGGCAGTTGTGATAAAGTTTAATATCCCAGATATAGAGAATTCCAGAAATTGAAAAGATAAAAATAGAGGGAGGCAGTAAAGTGGAATGTGGAACAAGGGATTTAAACAGGTAGCTTTTGGAAGAGGAATTTCAAATGGTCAGAAGATAGACTGTATATGGAAAGAAATTAAGACTTGATAGGAAAAGTTTTAAAAAGTAATTAGCATCTAGTGCTCATGAGAATGTGGGTAAACTTTTATATACATATTTGCATGCATTGTTGGTAGGATCTTGAATTGCTAGTCTTTTTGGAGAGTTGTCTGGTAATACCAAAACAAATTACATAGACATTTTAACCCAGCAATATTATCTCAGGAATGTATTCTGTAGAAACAAAAGCACCAATGTATAAAGATACGTTTCCAAGGATGTGTATTAGAATATTTTAATGGCAAAAAGCTGCAAACAGTTTAACCAACAGTTAATCAGTGTCAAACTGATTAACCATTAACAAGGAAGTAGTTGATTAAATTGAGATAAGTTGTACTGTAGAATATTATGCAGCAATTAAAAATAAGTCAGGAAACAAAAAGATTGGGAAGTACATGTCTGGTGAGTCAGAAGGATCTAGGAGGGCCAGGTAGGGGGTCTGTCACTTGCTATCTTTGTCGAAACTTACTTCCCTTCTCTCTGAAATGAGAATAATGCCTTCCTGTTGGGGTTCTTGAAAAGAATCAGATGAGTAATTATGTTTGCAAATGCCTTGTAATTCACCATAAAATATGTTCATTTTTCTTTTTTTTTTTTTTTTTTTTGAGATGGAGTTTCGCTCTTGTTACCCAGGCTGGAGTGCAATGGCGCGATCTCAGCTCACCACAGCCTCCGCCTCCTGGGTTCAGGCAATTCTCCTGCCTCAGCCTCCTGAGTAGCTGGGATTACAGGCACGTGCCACCATGTCCAGCTAATTCTTTGTATTTTTAGTAGAGACGGGGTTTCACCGTGTTGACCGGGTGGTCTCAATCTCTTGACCTTGTGATCTACCCGCCTCGGCCTCCCAAAGTGCTGGGATTACAGGCTTGAGCCACCACGCCCGGCCAAAATATGTTCATTTTTCTAACTACTCTTATTTAATACATGATTAATTAGGAATAGAGACCTAGAAATGGTACATGTGAAATCTGGGATTAACTCCTTTCTTACTTAAGAATTACACTCATTACAGAAACACTGAATGGTAGCCTGTGTTTGGCATCAATTTCTTAAGTTTGCTTTGAGAAAAAGTGGTTTTTTTTCTGACATCATTTTAGAATTGCCTGGCTGTCTTAATGATGCTCTGAGACCGGGTGTGTGGCTCACCCCTGTAATCTCAACACTTGGGGAGGCCAAGGCTGGGGGATCGCTTCAGCCTTAGGAGTTCAAGCCCAGCCTGGGCAACATAGTGAAACCTCATTTGTACAAAAAAGCAAAAAATTAGCTGAGTGTGGTGGCACGCACCTGTACTCCCAGCTACTTGGGAGATTGAGGTGGGAATATCACTTCAGCCTGGGAGGTCGAGGCTTCAGTGAGTCATGATTGTGCCATTACACTCCAGCCTGGGCGACAGCAAGACCCTGTCTCAAAAAAAAAAAAAAAAAAAACCACAAAAAACTACAGATTTCCTAGCATCAAACCTCAGACTTACTGAATTGAAATTCTTAGAAGTGGGGTCCTTACATTTCTTTTTATTGTTGTTGCATTTGTATGTGTGTGTATTTGTTTTTTGAGATTAAGAAAGACAAAAGTTCCTTAAATTTCTGTTGTTACTCAGGTAATCCTGGTGGTCACCATGAAAAATAGCTCGTTTAAATTCTAAATGTCTTACTGCCTTGGTTCTAAGATGTACTTTTTTCTCTGACATTTAGTGTTTCTGCAACAGATTTTATATTATGTTAATGTATGCACAGTAGTTAACATTTATGTGAGCTTTGTCGAAGCACTTTTCAAAGCATTTTTGCATGTATTACTTAATTTTTTCTTCACAGTAACCTCAAGTGATAGATATCATTATTTTCCTCATTTTATAATTGGGAAAACCAAGGCACAAGGAGATAAATATTTTGCCTTAGTCATTACTAAGCAATGTCTTGATAAATAAATGCTAGTCTGGAGCCTGGGCAGTTTAAACTAGAAATACATATAAGATTCCAGAAGGAACTCATACCAGTTTGGTCTTAACGTCTTTTCTTAAGTTCTTACTGTGATGATTTGGTTCATTAAAATTATTCTTCTCTGATATGTTCTAATTAACATGAAGAAATTATTTACTGCACTAGATTTTTTAAAAGTAAGAATTTTAAGAGACTCCAATGAACATTAATGCATTTTTTTATTTATGCATAGCAATTATATTCCAGAAGTGAGAATCATGTCAATTCCCAATCTTCGCTACATGAAGGTTAGTACCTTGCTTATTAATAAGAAAAAGGATTGATCAATGATGTGTGCATAAATGTATGTAGATGTCTGTGTGAGTATTTGGCACAGGATCCAGTGAGCAAGAGATAGAAAAGAAGACAGGGATCGAAAAGGGATTAAGACTTTAAATGTATGGACACTGAGGTTCTTGACAACAGCATCTTTTAAAAGTAGGGAGAAGGAGCAGGGTACATATTATATTAAGTTGAAATTATAGGTGGGGAAAATAAAGGAGAGAATGTTGGGTCCCACGGGAATCTTTTGCTCTTCTCCAGCCTAGAGATTCTCCTCGATCTCCTGTATGTTATGTTTCAGGTACTAGGAATCAGTGAGATTTCTCCTATACCACAGCCCTTCTCTTCCTTGGAGTCCTCATCTACTCCCCTTCCTTCCACACACACACCCCCAGTGAATCGTAGAATATTCTGCAGCAACCTCTTTCGCTCTTTTTTTTTTTTTTTCATGCTGCTCCTGATGATATAAATGTTTATTATATGGTCCTTCATTTTTTTTTTTTTTTTTAACTTATCGAGAGAGAGAGTACCAAACAAGGGCAGATTATCACAATTCAAGAAGTCTTAAAAAGTTTCGCGCCGGGCGCGGTGGCTCAAGCCTGTAATCCCAGCACTTTGGGAGGCCAAGGCGGGTGGATCACGAGGTCGAGAGATCGAGACCATCCTGGTCAACATGGTGAAACCCCGTCTCTACTAAAAGTGCAAAAAAATTAGCTAGGCATGGTGGCACGTGCCTGTAATCCCAGCTACTCAGGAGGCTGAGGCAGGAGAATTGCCTGAACCCAGGAAGCGGAGGTTGCGGTGAGCCGAGATCGCACCATTGCACTCCAGCCTGGGTAACAAGGGCGAAACTCCGTCTCAAAAAAAAAAAAAAGGTTTTTATAAGGCTGGGCACAGTGGCTCACACCTGTAATCCGAGAACTTTGGGATGCCAAGAAAAGTAGATTGCTTAGGCCCAAGAGGTCAAGACCAGCCTGGGCAACATGGAGAAACCCCATCTCTACTAAAAATAGAAAAAATTTGCCAGGCGTGGTGGCTCACACCTGTGGTCCCAGCTACTCAGGAGGCTGAGATGGGAGGATCACCTGAGCTCAGGAGGTCCAGGCTGCAGTGAGCCATGATCACGCCACTGCACTCCAGCCTGGGTGACAGAGTGAGACCCTGTCTCAAAAATAAAGAAATAATAAAAAATTGTAAAACTTTTTATAGTCTTGATGTGCCATTTTTTCTGTTAATGCATCTGACTGGCCTGTGGCTCCTACATTTTATTTATGAGGGCCTCCTTTTCAGTCCTTAAATGTCAACCTGGGTGGGACAAGAGTTTTAACTTCAAACAATCACTTAGATAATGAACATTCCTTAATTTCTGGATCTAGTTACTGGCCTTTTCAGTGGAATCTGTCCCATTTCCTCAGTGAGACAGCAACTCCAGAAAGAATTTAGTCTAACATATAGATCAGGCGTCCCCAAACTTTTTACACAGGGGGCCAGTTCACTGTCCCTCAGACCGTTGGAGGGCCGCCACATACTGTGCTCCTCTCACTGACCACCAATGAAAGAGGTGCCCCTTCCTGAAGTGTGGGGTGGGGAGGGGTGGCGGGGGATGGCGGATAAATGGCCTCAGGGGGCCGCGTGCGGCCCACAGGCCGTAGTTCGGGGACGCCTGATATAGATAATAGAATAGATAATAACAGTAAGCACGTAGAGAACACAGTGATGTAGAGGTATAGGTAGGGTGTCATTGCTCAGGAGTAATGGGGGGACAGTAATTTTGTGAAATATTTGGTATAGCAGCTAAGAAAGTGGCGAATGTCTGAGAGATGTGTTTCATATTCCCAGGAAAGCCAGGTCCTCCTGACTCTTACGAATCCAGTTGAGAACCTCACCCATGTGACTCTGTTGGAGTGTGAGGAGGGGGACCCCGATGATATCAATAGCACTGCTAAGGTAGGAACATTTTGCCTCAGCCTGACTGACCCTCACTTTGCCTGGAGTGGCTTAAAACACTCCATACTCGGCTGGGTGCATTGGCTCACTCCTGTAATCCTAGCACTTTGGGAGGCAGAGGTGGGCGGATCGCCTGAGGTAGGGAGCTTGAGCCCAACTTGACCAACATGGAGAAACCCTGTCTACTAAAAATACCAAATTAGCCGGGCGTGGTGGCGCATGCCTGTAATCCCAGCTACTTGGGAGACTGAGGCGGGAGAATCACTTGAACCCAGGAGGCGGAGGTTGCGGTGAGCTGAGATTGCGCCATTCCAGCCTGGGCGACAAGAGGAAACTCCGTCTCAAAAAAAACACACTCCACACCCTCCTTTCCACATCTAGTCAGCAAGTTCTTTTGATTCCACCTCCTAAGGTTTTTCACTTTATCCTGAAACGCACTGCCCTGTTTGAAGGTATCATCGTTTCTTACCTGGACTGTGACAGTAACTTCCTAACTAACCTTGCTATTTTTACACCACCACCTCCATTTCAACACATTTCTTCCCTACTGCCACCAGGGCGATCCTTCTCAAATCTAACTCTGTGCATGCTGGTCATTTAGTATCGCTCTTGACTGAGATGAAGTCCAAATTTTTGGCATAGCATAAGAGCTCCTTGATGACATCACTTCTGTCTGTTCCTCCAGTGCGATCTTCCTTCACATCCTCAAATTTAGCACTCTCTGAATTGTATATACTAGTGGTTGTGATTCAGACAGATCCAGTGGGCTATGAACTTTGACACTGGAGAATTGTGTATGCTATTTGTTTTACCTAGAATGCCTCCTTCCTATCCTGACTCCCCTAACATACATGCCCTTTCAGCCTCTTAGTCTCATACATTCATTCTTCAACACTTGTGAAATACTATTTCCTTTTAGAAGTTATATGCTTGAAATCATTTAGAAGCTGGTATGCTTCCTCTAGATTCCTCTACCTTACAAAGAGTATACATACAGCGCTAACTAGGCCAGTGCAATGTTTCACACCTGTAATCCTAGCACTTTGGGAGGCTGAGGCAGGAGGATGACCTAAGGTCAGGAGTTCGAGACCAGCCTGGCCAACGTAGTAAAACCCCATCTCTACTAAAATACAAAAATTAGCCGGGCATGATGGAGGGTACCTGTAATCCCATCTGCTTGGGAGGCTGAGATGGGAGAATCACTTGAACCTGAGAAGGCGGTGGTTGCAGTGAGCTGAGATCGTACCACTACACTCCAGCCTGGGTGGCTGAGTGAGACTCCATCTCAAAAAAAAAGAAAAAACAAAAAGACACAGCATTGAGTAAATATTAAAGTGGTTGATTTTGACCCTCAGTATTAGTTGAATGAATGTACTATGGCCTCTTTATATTTTGCTACTTTGTAATTCATTTAGTACTTGAAATTTTAGAACAAGAGGTTTTCTCTATAGATCATGTATTACTGGTTCATAATTCAGCATAATATTTATAATAAAAATGGTTTAAAAGGATACCTATATCTTTAGCTGTTATTGAAATAATATTATTAGAGAATTTCTGTTCTCTTTCTCTTTTTTCCATGATTTCACTTACTAGCATCACCTCCAAAGACAGATAACACTTATCTGGTCATTGCTGCTTTTTTCTTTATTAACACTAATAAGCAGCTCAGCAGCTTCAGTTAAGACAGAAACAGAAATAAATACCTGATGCATAAGCACAGCTTGTCTTTATCTCTCTCTATACCTCCCCTGCCACATTTGTATTCATAATTAGAAATTTGATTGACATTATTAACTGTTAACCTCTGATGGAGCGAAGCTGAGGCCTAATTATTATGTAAGTCTGAAGAATGCTCATTTTTTTCCATGACCGTAAACACCTACTATCTCATGTGAGTTTATGTATCAGGTACCAGGAATCCACTGATACCATGTCAGAAAACAATGTGATGGAACCAGTATTTCTCTTTTGTGTTGTTCTTAATGATGGACTATTTCACGTGTATCGAAAAATATAAAAAATAATATGGCAAACACCCATTTCCCCCATCCCCTTAAGAAATAAAACATTAAAGACACAATTGAAACCCCTCACGTTCTCCCCAGTTCCTCACTGCAGACCCCATGAAGTAAGTACTCACTTAACTTTATTTTTCTCTTAAAACCTTTGTTCTTATAAACTCCATGTGAGTAGTATATGTTTCCTGAAACTTGCTGTGTGCTTCCATATGTCTAAATCAGTGTCATACTTTGCTATATTCTGTCACACTGGTCCCTTCTCAGACAGGCCTCTCTGTGTTGCTCTCCAGGTGGTGGTACCTCCCAAGGAGCTCGTCTTAGCTGGCAAGGATGCAGCAGCAGAGTACGATGAGTTGGCAGAACCCCAGGACTTTCAGGACGATCCCGAGTAAGTGATCTTTTCGTGGTCCCCATACCACAATTGGCTGATACAGAATGCCCATTTATATATCCAATTTTTTTGTCTGGATTTTTTAAAATAACTTTTTTCTCCCTGTTTCTAAAAATAATTATTGTAGAAAATTGGGGAAATATATGTAAAACAAGGAAGAAGAAAATAAAATTATCCCACCACCAGAGATAAACAGCATTAACATTTTGGGCATTTGTCCTTCCAGATATTTCTCCCCTCACTGGCATCGTTCTGTAAATACAGTTTTTTTGCCTTTGTTTTTCACTTGAATATATTTTCCCATGTTAATAAAAAAAAAATTTAAGTATATGTTTTTAATGGTTGTGGAGAGGATACAGTATTCTATCCCTATAGATTTATCATTGGGTTTGTTCCCACCTCCACCCCCTTAGAGTAATTAATAGATTTTGCTCCCTCATACCCAATAACTGAAAAGTAAGAACCAAACCTTCCACTAACTGGGGACTATGTTCATCAGAGAATTCAGTCTAAAGGTTGAATGTTTCAATAATTTGAACAGACAATTTAATATAAAGAATTGTTCACTTGCGTAACTTAAAAAGTGAAAAAGAACACTAAGCTAGCAATTTTATGCTATTTCATGGGAATAAATTTCAAAGACAGCTATTTTATGAAGCAGCTACCACCCATAGGGTGGTGGTAACAAAGGGACATAGAATTATTAAAATTTCGAAATTAAAGAAGGAGCTCCATGTAGCTGAAACTCAGGTCTCCGGTGAGCTGAAGGGGAACCCTGCTTGCCTGGTCCTGGCATCTTAGGATGGCAGAGGAGGGGTGGCATGATGAAACTGGTTATACAAGAATTGGAAAACTTCAACTGCATACTGCCACTTCCGGGGTCAAGAAGCATTGCTGGGCTGGGCATGGTGGCCCACCCTTGTGTTCTTAACATTTTGGGAGGCCGAGGCAGGAAGATCACTTCAGCCCAGGAGTTTGAGACCAGCCTGGGAATATAGTGAGACCCCGTCTCTACAAAAAAATTTTTAAAATATGGCAGGTGTAGCAGCGCGTGCTTGTAGTCCCTCCCAGCTACTCAAGGGACTGGGATGGCAAGATCACTTGAGCCCTGGAGGCAGAGGTTGCTTTGAGCCTTGATTGTGCCACTGCACTCCAGCCTGAGTAACAGAACTAGACCCTGTCTCAAAAAAAAATAAAAATAAAAAAAGACGTTTTTGGAGTGATGCCCATAGGGAACAGGGACCACAAGCAAACGGGAATCTCTAAAGGAAGAGCAAGACCCTTCCTCCTCCAGACTTCTAGTCTTCCTTTAGAGCTTGCTACTGACAAAACTTCACAAGGAGCCAGCCGACCAAGCAGAAACAGTCCAAGCAGAATCCTGTATCACAAAGCAAAACAGAGAGGTGTACTGGAGCTGAAAAACAGTAGCTTCATAAACGCACAGAGAACATTGACGGTTTTTGTTTTGTTTTTTTTGAGATGGAATCTCACTCTGTCGCCCAGGCTGGAGTAGTGCAGTGGCGCAATCTCCTGCTCACTGCAACCTCCACCTCCCGAGCTCAAGCGTTTCTCCTACCTCAGCCTCCCAAGTAGCTTGGATTACAGGCGAGCACCACCACACCTGGCTAATTTTTGTATTTTTGGTAGAGATGGGGTTTCACCATGTTGCCAAGGCTGGTGTCAAACTCCTGACTTAAAGTGATCTGCCTGCCTTGGCCTCCCAGAGTGCTGGGATTCCAGGCATGACCCACTACGCCTGGTCCATTTATAGTTTTTAACAGAATGATCAAAAGCTTTCTCAACAAGATATCGGAGAGAAGAGATAATATCCGGTAGGTTAGAAAAATAAAGCCAGGCACAGTGGCTCACTTCTGTAATCCCAGCACTTGGGGAAGCTGAGGCGGGCAGACGACTTGAGGTCAGGCATTCGAGACCAGCCTGGCCAACATGGCAAAATCCTGTCTCTGCTAAAAATACAAAAATTAGCCAGGCATGGAGGCACACACCTATAATCCCAGCTGACGCAGGAAAATCACTTGAACCCTGAAGGTTCAAATGTGGGTTAACTTCAGAAAGCACCAGGTCAAGTGTTGTGTTTTGTTTTGTTTATTCTATAACATTCCAGACCCCAACCCCAGAGGATTTTTTTTAGCAGGTCTAGCTAGGGACCAGAAATCCAAATTTATTCAGGAAAAACTTCCCAGGTATCAATGGTTGCCTGGGAAATTAAGGACAAAAAGAAAGACTGACATTTTCCTTTTTACCATTTAAAACTATACGAGTTTTTTTTTTTTTTTTTTTTTTTTTTTATGACTCATACAAATCAAATGTTTGGTTAATTACCGTAATACGAAATGTACTGAATTGTACAGTACAGAATGTATTCTCTGAAATCCTTGCTTTATATGAGTCCTTAAATTAATTAGGTACAGAAATGTGTTAAGCCAAGGTATACTTCTGGAAAGATTGTCTGAGATACCAAATTTCAGTCTGATTACATGCTAGAGTAATTAAAAACTGAATTCGTTATATTTCACATTAGATTTAATGGAACTTTTGGATTTCTAGAAACTAACACCGTATAAATACATAAATGTGTAATTCCAGTAACTTTTCTTAGAGTAACTGAATATCATTTGAGTCATTTGGATAGGAGACAGATGTTGTTTATTTCATCACCTTCAGGAACTAAGTTATTAAAGCACAAACTTTATGCACAAATGAGGGGAAATTGAAATGGAAACCCCAATGAAGGGACATTTTTATGCTACAATTCCTAATTACATAGGTTATTTACAAAAACACTCTGATTTATAGTATTCCAAAATTTCCCTTAAAGCATTGAGTTATTAAAACTTCCCACAGCATGGCCAGGCATGGTGGCTCATGCCTCTGTCCCAGCACTTTGGGAGGCTGAGGCAGGAGAATTGTTTGAGCTTAGGAGGTCAAGGCTACCGTGAGCAATGATCGTGCCACTGCTCTCTAGCCTGGGTGACAGAGCAAAACCTTGTCTCTAAAAAATAAAAATAAATAACTTTCCACAGTATGAGTCTATGTTCTGTAGAAATATTACCACATTTGCACAGAGGTAAATATAAAGGGATGTTTACAGCACCATTGTTTATAATAGAGAAAAATTGGCAGCAACCTCAGTATATGCCAATTATGGTAAATACATAATTGAATACTATGCAACCATTAAATAGAATGTAGATGATCTATATATACCAACATAGAAAGGTGTTTGTGATAAACATAGTGAAAAAATCAAGTTATGGAATAGTGTGTACCATCTGTATTGGTTAAAAAAGCAGAAAAGTGTAAGCTCATAGAAAAATATATGGCCAGCGCACTGGGTTATACTGGTAATCCCAGCACTTTCGGAGGCCAGGGTGAGCAGATCACTTGAGCCCTGGTGTTCGAGACCAGCCTGGGCAACATGGTGAAACCCTATCTCTACCAAAATATATATATATATTAATATATAAAGCTAGCCAGGAGTGGTAGTGCACACCTGTAGTCGCAGTTACTCAGAAGGCTGATATGGGAGAATTACTTGAGCCTGCAAAACAGAGGTTGCAGTGAGCCGAGATTGAGCCATTGTACCCCAGCCTGGGTGACAGCGAGACTCCGTCTCAAAAATACAAAACGAAAATACTTGTTAGGTTAAGAACAAAGTGCTTACAGGTTTTCTGTGTGCTGGAGGAAAGAATAAGGTGAAAGACTACTTTTACTGTAAGTCTTCGTGGTTTGGCTGATTTTTTATCTACCTAATACTTGCTTTTTTTTCTTTCCATAGCATTATAGCCTTCAGAAAGGCCAACAAAGTAGGTATTTTCATCAAAGTTACCCCGCAGCGTGAGGAGGGTGAAGTGACCGTGTGCTTCAAGATGAAGCATGATTTTAAAAACCTGGCAGCCCCCATTCGCCCCATTGAAGAAAGCGACCAGGGCACAGAAGTCATCTGGCTCACCCAGCATGTGGAACTTAGCTTGGGCCCGCTGCTTCCTTAAAAGGTTCCATTGGAGGGCAGATCCCAAAGGACAGTGTCACCATAAACCTGCTCTCAAATGTGGAAGCTGCTGCTTCATTAGGCCTTGTTTATAATGATGTACCCATGCACTACAGAACTCTATTGCTAGGAAAGTGGGAGCACAGTGAAGCATGGGGAGCACAGGGTAACTGCTATTCCTCTTGCTCTCACCTCTGTTGACACCAGTAAGTCTGTGTCTCCCTCACTGAGCCCTGCACGTTGAATAACAACAGCATAATTCCATACTAGGAAAGGGGATGGGTATTCCTTGGAGTGACATTGTATTTACCACCTGAGAAACTCTGTACTGTATGGTCTCTTGATCTGATCTCACTAAAAGATCACAATGTCACAGATGAAACTTAAATGATAACCCAAAGGTGGACCTGCTATTAATGATCCAGCCTTGGTGGCAGTGTACCAACTGCTTTCTGCATCCCATTAAGTATAACCTAACAGTCTAAAACATATCCCTTCACTTGCCATCATGGCTGCCGTTTTGCCGTAGATTTCTATGTAACAGAAAAATGGAATTGGCACATCATCTTTAGTATTATGATGATTGGAACAGCCTGTGACGTTGTTAAGGCACTCTCATTTGCCCTCTTTTTCTAAGTGAATACAGGACACTTACTAGTTGTCTTAATTTTTTTCCCAGTAAAATATGGGACCTTTCAAGAAGAATTTGAGAGGCAAGCAATTACATGTCATGTCAAGGGGGTAAGCAAATTCCATTCGATTTAAATATTGCCACAACACCCAGGGATTAATGCTGCCACAGAGGGGCAATTTTTATTTGTCTTACTTCCTACGCCTTCTCTGTTCTGCGTCTGTAACTCAGTAAGTTCTGTTTGGGACCTGGAAAAGAACCCAAAGAAAACCTGAGTGGACAGGTTCACTTCTGGAATGCAGAAAACATTTTAAAGGTTAGAGTTTTAGCGTATTCTCAACTAGCATTCTTTCCATTGATTTGAAGGGGAAATTAACTTTTACAATCTCTTGAATCCAAAACTGTATATTAAGAACTTTGCCCCTTACTAAGTTTAAGACTTTTGTCATATGGTGAGTCAAATAAGACCATTTTGATTGTAAACCATAAAATAGTTAAGCAGGTAACCCACAGCTGTGGCCTAACAGCAGACATGCCGTTTTCACTTGTTATCCTGGAGTTGGGTTGCTAACCTTAATTTCTATGATGTTTTCTAAAATGAAACTTGACAAAGTAGACCACCAGCTGCACCGTGTTTTCTGTAAAGGTATTGTTAGTAAGTGGGCAAGAGACTTGAGGAAAAGATAAATTTTCTGTTTACCTTGGTCTTGTTTTAAGTCTTGAGTTAAAAAACATAATTAAAGATACAATATAATGTAGAATACAGATGGGAGATAGTCCTTGTAAGCTTCCCTTGAGAATGTTTTAAATATTTAGGAAGCTTGTAAAAGATTCTAAATCGTGCTCTTAAGGTCTAGCCAATTTTATGAAATAGTCCCGCAGAGTAATATATGTGATGCAACGTAAGAAAGAAATTACTCAGCCGGGCGCGGTGGCTCACGCCTGTAATCCCAGCACTTTGGGAGGCCGAGGCGGGTGGATCACAAGGTCAAGAGATTGAGACCATCCTGGTCAACAAGGTGAAACCCCGTCTCTACTAAAAATACAAAAAATGAGCTGGGCATGGTGGCGCGTGCCTGTAATCCCAGCTGCTCAGGAGGCTGAGGCAGGAGAATTGCCTGAACCCAGGAGGCAGAGGTTGCGATGAGCCAAGATCGCGCCATTGCACTCCAGCCTGGGTAACAAGAGCGAGCGAAACTCCGTCTCAAAAAAAAAAAAAAAAAAAAAAAAAAAAAAAGAAAGAAAATACTCATCTCTAACATTATGGTAATAATAAGGTTTAGCCTCTTAGGAGTTGGAGCACAGGGATTAGTAATTACAGATTTGTAGACTATAGAAAGAGTTTAGCTTTTGTTCTGACCCCACAGAGTCTTGGATTTTTATTTCACTACCTGCTAGGGCTTACTGTGAAGTCACTGCTCCATATTTGCCAGTGGAGGAAACCGGCATCAAAGTAGAGAATACCTTCCTGTGTTTACACGTTTGCATGACTACACACGTCATACGTTTATGGCCGGTAGCTGGTATTTGTTCCCAGAAGTAATAATGTTGAAGTATGGGTCTTATTCCTGTATAACACAGAAACACAAAATACTTTGATTGCAAACTTTTTTTCTTCAAAAGCCAAACTAATTTTGAAGAATAACAGAGCCATTGGTTTAATGTTTCCTCAAGATAGGTTTTAGTGCAAGATAGTATTCCTCGTGTTTGTAAAATTGATTCAACACCCGCAGCTGGTGAATTAGGAATTGTATTTGTTGCCTTTTTTATATTAGTGAGGTGCAAAAATTGTAATGCTAGTCAGTATGCACCACCGCAGGAAAGTGAGTTCTCCTTAGCATTTGAAACTCGAGTTTTGGAAACTTAGGCTAAGTTAGTTTGGATTCGTTATTTGATTCGCCCAGTAACGTCTTCTTTTGTTGGAAGTGCTTATCAGCATAATGAGCTAAGTGTCATGCATATTTGTGAAGAAACATCCCTTTTGGTCCCTTTTGGGAAGGAGAGGCACTCCTTGATCTTTATGAATCACAGGTTACTGTTTCGCCTTATTGCTTAACTTAATGTAGTGAAATAAAGCAGACAAAGCTCGAGTGTGTCTTTTGTTTGGTTTCATGTAGACACTAAGTAGCGTGGCCTAGAGCCAAAAGATAGGAGTGGAGTTAGAGTTGGTGGGGCCTGCTCCCTTCCATTTCTTTAAATGAAGTAATCTAAACTCTCTTAGCGGGTTGGTTCACCGTAATCTATGAGAGATGTTGCTTTGAGCTTCTTACATACATATTCGCAGAACCATTATATAAATGTTGTTAAACTTCTACCAGTTTTTATCCTGGGTCATTGCTTCTAAAGATATCCTTTGCAGTATACACAGTGGTCTGCCTCCACCAATGGCCACTCATCCACCTTCATCTGTACCTTCATAACTCTTCCTTCCCTCCTGTTACTTAGATGAATTGTTCACACTCTTCCTGTCTGAAGCCAGCCCCACCTCTTAACAGTCAAGCACATCCTCTTACCTATTCTCAGATGGCATCGGCAGCCCTCCCCTTCCTTTTTCCATCAGCATGTGATTTATCTCATCTTAAAAAAGAAATTAGCCTCACTCTCCTCTTCAGCTGCCACCCCGTTTCTCCACTCCCTTCACAGCAAAACTCCTCTAACTTTGGCTGGGCACAATCGCTCACACCTGTAATGCCAGCACTTTGGGAGGCCGAGGCAAGAGGATCACTTGAGCCCGGGAGTTTGAGACAAAACTGGACAATGTAACAAGAGCTTGTCTCTATTTAAGTAAAAGTTTTTCAAAAAACAGAAACCCTAACTCAACCTTCCAGTTCTTCCATTCTCACCTGAACCCATTCCAGTTAGAGTGTCACCCCCACCCCTTGGTCAGAACTGTGCTTGTCAAGGTCACCAACGATCACCACAGTTAACTATGGGGTCAGTTCTCAGTCCTTAACTATGTGATGTTTTCAGTAGATCTGACAGTTTCTCTCTCCCTTCTTGAAAGGTTTTACTTGGTTTCCAGAACATAACGCTCCTGGTTTTGTGGCAGAACAGGGACCCCCTCTTAGGAGGCTTGTGGGCCCCTCCACACATGGAAATAAAGGAAAATCTTGAGTTCCTTCAACGGAATTCTAGGCACCAAGCTAGCTGGGAGAAGTTAGTGAGCAACTTGATAAACAAGAAGGTAATGGTAGCTGAAAACAATAGCCAAGGAAGTCAGAGCAAGATGTGTTGTTCCCTATAGAAACTAAAGATAACATCATATATGTTCCTGGGTTTTCAGAAACCTGGACTCTCACCAAACATTTAAACCTCAGATAAGGGGAAACAGAACTGAACTCTGACCACTGTTCATTGTTCTAAGTTGCTTCCTGAGAGGCCTGGAGGAAGTCATGCCAACCGTCCAGAGCTATCATTCTTTTCTATGGATGCCAAGTTTAGACAGTTTCACCACATTAACTTGGTTAAATAAAAAAATCTCTGAATCCACCAGTGACCTTGAGTCCATCCCCAATCCCAGCTCTGAGATGTCCTACCTTTTTAGGTCAAACTCATGTGTAGCCTCTGTATTGATTTATGACTTTGCCCGTAGCTTTTCCCTGCCTTTAAAAACGTGTACCTGTAAGCCATCTAGGAGTTTGGGTCTTAAGTGTGATCTGTGCACTTCTCCTTGCTTGGTGCCCTCCAATAAAATACCTTACTTTCTCTTCTGCTAGCCTGATGTCAATGACTGCAGCACTGGGTGAGCAGACCCCAGTTTAGTTCAGTAACAGTTTTCTGCCTACCCTACTAGAAACATTTCTTCCAGATTCTTTGCTAGTTCTTTTCCATCTTCCCGACCTTGCAGTATACCAAATCTCATTTCTCACACTTCTTTCCTCTTTACACTCACTCTTTGAATAATCTTGCCCAGTTTTCGGGGGCAAGAATGCTGAGAAAAGATTTATTCCTAAGGCCCACATACAGGGCCTACTGAAGACTGAGGCTGAATTAAATTAGAACCAACAAAGCACCCCTTTGCTTCTCCCCTACTACCAGCGTACCAAGCAGCTAGTAACAAGCGTCCATTTCTAGGGTATGGGCATGGGCCTAGAAAGTTACCCAGTACTGTGCAGGTAGGCAGGACAGCTGTAAGCTGAGGATGAAGCATGAACACAAGTTCTTCAGCCTCATCCTACAGTACAGGATAATGCTAAAGTATATGAAATCTGTGGCACACTGAAAGCAACCACAGCAATAAAACCCAACCCCAGGCCGGTCACGGTGGCTCACACCTGTAATCGCAACACTTTGGGAGGCCAAGGCAGATCAACTGAGATCGGGAGTTTGAGACCAGCCTGACCAACATGGTAAAACCCCCTCTCTACTAAAAATACAAAAAATTAGCCAGGTATGGTGATGGGTGCCTGTAAACCTAGCTACTCAGGAGGCTGAGTCAGGAGAATCGCTTGAACCCAGGAGGTGGAGGTTGCGGTGAGCCAAGATCATGCCATTGCACTCCACCCTGGGTAACAAGAGTGAAACTGTCTCAAAAAATATATGTATGTAATAACCCAAGCCCAGCTCAATTCCTGACCAGATTGACCAAACCCCATGCAGACGTTCTAACAGAAGACACTTGCCCATTTCCAAGCATTAATATGATTTGCCTCATTCTCTTCTGTTACATAATCAACGACGGTCGGGCGCGGTAGTTTACGCCTATACTCCCAGCACTTTAGGAAGCTGAGGCAGGCAGATTGCTTGAGGCCAAGAGTTCAAGACCAGCCTGGCCAACATGGTGAAACCCTGTCTCTACTAAAAGTACAAAAATTGGCCGGGTATAGTGGTGCAGGTCTATAGTCCCAGCTACTCAGGAGAATCACCTGAACCCAGAAGGCAGAGGTTACACTGAGCTGAGACTGCTCCACTGCACTCCAGCCTGGGTGAGACAGCGAGACTCTGTCTCAAAAAGAAAATAAAATAAAAATACGTAAGCAATGACTGGCATTCAATAAAGAATTGGGACACACAAAAAAAGCAAAAAAATTCAACACGTTCCTCACAGATAAAGCAATCTATAGGACTATATTGGAAATAACCCACGTTTTAACTAATGGACAGAGACTTGAGCATGCTCTTGGGGCTCAGAAAATGATACCCCAAATTAAGGCTCTGAAGCAGCCACAGAAGCAAAAGTTTCTCTCCGATCTTCTGCCTTCCTGTCTCTGGAGCTTCATTCTCCCCAAAGCCTCGACACAGATACCGAATCCTTTTTCCTCAAGGTGGGTCATAGAGAGAACCCCTTTTTCTAAAGCCAGCCATAAAACAAAAATACTACTCTAGGCTGGGTGCGGTGGCTCACACCTATAATCCCAGCACTTTGGGAGGCCGAGGCAGGTGGATCATGAGGTCAGGAGTTCGATATCAGGCTGACCAACGTAGTGAAACCCTGTCTCTACTAAAAATACAAAAATTAGCCAGGTGTGGTGGTGGGTGCCTGTAATCCCAGCTACTCAGGAGGCTGAGGCAGGAGATTTGCTTAAACCCGGGAGGCAGAGGTTGCAGTGAGCTGAGATCACGCCATTGCACTCTAGCCTCGGCAACAGATCAAGACTTTGTCTCAGAAAAGAAAAATGCAGGTCATGCTTAATGAGGAAAGCTGTGTTGCAAAACCATATGGCTATACTCACAGCAGCACAAGGGGAGCCCATGCCACC